GACAAACATCCCGATTACGTCATCATCAAAATATCTATAGTTATGAAAGAAAACAAGAGTCAGCATATAATATATGTATATATATGTATATATATATATATGTATATATATATATATGTATATATATATATATATATATATAATGTATGATGCAGGAGATATCGATGTGGTTCCCTTCGCTCATGCTTCGCCTTATAATAACTATGCTTGTTTTTGCAATTAATTTCGAAGTAAACTATGTGAAAGAACTGACCGAACTTTTCAGACTGCGTTGTTAACTAAATCATCTGCTCTACATCGAAGCTGTGGTTTTACGGTGTAAACCGTTTGATGTAGTTCATTCAACCATGGATCATTTCGATGCAGACTGGGAAGTTGGAGAATGGGCGGTTCAGACAAGCATTTTGGTGAAAGTTTTATCTCCACAGGCTCATTTGATACCGAAATAAATCGAACTACTTATCAAGGGACAAAAAAGTCACTCACGATAATTCAAACGTCGGATTTGCTTCAGTAAGTGAATGAAAAAGATGAGGCTCAGACTTACGTATCGTTAACGGAATTCGGCATTTTCCTCTTAGGATGAGTAGCCACCAGGATATCTCAGGTAGTTACGATGTTTTTTTGGGGCGCGAGAACAGCTGATGAATTAGGACCGTTACTCTGTAAGTACGAGGAAAATTTCCCAGAGGACAACAGAATTCGGTGTTTTGATGTAAATGCCGCAAAATACAAGGTGAGCGAACTTTTTCAAACCAAATCGCCCTTTTGTGAAGCAGTACGAAGCTCGGCGAAGCATATGTTACACAGGGTGGCTATATAATCTTTATCTTTAAAAAACAAGTTTATCTGCTTTCATGCATGTGTTCAACGTTTTTTTGGAAATTCTGTGTTTGGCTCGAAAGTGCAGCACTGAATCTGACAATTCCCACAACTATTTGCTGAGTTCTAGAGGGGGAAATGACTCACTGAGTTGCGTGCACAGTAACTGTGAATTTCCACTACCCTGTTCCACGTTTGACCTTTGTTCTGTGCAGACTGACTGCCAATAGTTCAGTGTTCTCTCGCATAAGTCTGCTAAGTTCTCCATCGTTCATTGTGTTTACGAACAGTGCGTTCTATTTTAAATCCAATGAGTGATTTCTTTCAAGTCCATCTCTCCTACCGTTTGTGCCCCACAATCTGCTATTTTCACTGGCTTGAACAATGACATTGTTTAAAAACCGTCGCAATGAAGTGAACTGAGACTAGGTTGTCCAACCATGTTTTCCTCAGGTCATGGCGTTTTGGTGTACTGTACTGTTCGTTTGAACCTTGTCTATATGTCGGTCGATTCCTCCCACACAACGATACCGGTGAGAAAAAGAAGGCCTTCACTGCGGAGTTGTTTACTTGAGAAACACCAACTGAACAGTTACAGACTATTGGACAGGGGAGCAAAACTTTCATATGCATCTTGTTTACAAAAACTCAATATCCTTGTTTCTCCTGGAACGCGTCTTCCTGAACTTTCCTGGATATTTATTGACTGTTACTCAAATGCAAGCAAATGCTATAAAACGACTCCACAAATCCCGTAATAGATCTCACTTTTCAAGAGACGTGAAGCGGATTTACGAGAAAACACTACTCGCATGCCCCACCACTAGTATCCACCGTTACACCGGTAACTGCTCACCTCCAGAAAGTTTTCCCCTTCCACAAACTTTTGTCGTTCTGCTCACGGTCAAACGCATCTAATCTGTTTTAGCCGACTAGCTTTAACCCCCCCCTTGACAGCTAGTTGCCGTCGTTGAATTGCCCACGCACCTGCACACTACATGCACTTTTGAACGCACTATGTAAGTCATGCTGGCTCGGGACCGTGGATGCATGAGACTGACATGACACTTGAGTGACTCACCTGGTCGACGCCTGTGCGGAATCATCGTACATCGTATTCCATAACATTCGTGGATAAGGATTTCGCCGGGACAGTTTGCCTCTGAGACTGAGAACTGTTGTTCAGCGGATGCACCAATTTGATGATTTCACCTTTAAATGGCGTATAGAAAACGCCTCGCGGAAAATCAGGAACGATGACTGCCCCAGAATAACTTTCACTTCGATTTCCATTCTCAATTGAAATTTTGTCTTGCAAGTGAAGCTAATCTATGCTGAAAAGCGCTGTATAGCTCTTTCGATCCGCATTGGGAATCATCAACAGTGCACATCTGCCGAAACTGTAGAATGTTTCGATTGAGAATTAATGAGTAAAAAGGGTGAACAGTGTGGTCTGGCAGCGTGCGACGTAGGCTTTTTGCACAATCTTCTGAAGCAGCTGTGACAAAGTGATACATCATTGTGCAGTTTGAAAGTAATCACTATCACGGTTACACCTTACTTGTTCATACGGAACATTTGGCTTAACCAATTCTCTGGATCTCTCTCCGCTCACTAACTGTCCGAATTGATTCTGTTCATACAGTGCTCCATGGTTGTCGCATAGGGGACAGCTAGTTGGCGTCACAAGTGAAGGTTGCACGTTAGATAGACAGTGGGGACAGGGGATGTAACCTCTAACAGGCCAATCAGTCGAAGATGCTACTTATCCTATTCATGGTGGGCACCGAGACCTGGGCGGTTTATCCCAGGAGATGTCCATGTTCAAGTGAACTGAGAAGGTGATTCAGTGGTACTTCACTTTTCTTCCATGCAATCTAACTGCAATGATCACTTGACTGCAACCAATGTGTTTGCGAACATGGGAGTTTCCGAGTCCCTCCTTTAGGTGAATCATCTATGTGAATGAGAGGTCTTGTCGTTCATACGACCGTGTTGTTTATAAACTTAAGTCATATTTGTAACGTGCTACTCATAAGGTTGCTGAAACTCCGTCGACAGCCCACGACCGGTTTCGTCCTCTTTGGGACTTATCAGGTAGGTGCAGTCCCCGGGTTTCCGTCGACCTTATGTTCTACTTGAAACCAAATTGCACGAAATTCGCGAATATACACTCATCTGCAAACTAATTTGGTTCTTTCGAGAGACTCACCTGGAACCCAGCTGAATCTCTCGTTTGTGATGTTCTCAGGCAACTGAATGTGCTGCACCAGGCGCCTACCTGATGAATCCCAAAAAGGGCGAAACCGGTCGTGGGCTGTCAACGGATTTTCAGCAACCTTATGAGTAGTACATTACAAAGATATACATGTATCGCGATATCTCGAATATCGTAGCGATTGAAACATTAGGTGGCTTGGTAACCCAGGGACTGCGCCTACCTGATGAGCCCAAAAAGTGCGAAATCGGTCGTGGGCTGTCGACGGATTTTCAGCAAGCTTATGAGTAGTACATTACACAGAGAGCTCTTGTCCTTCATACAAAATCAGTTCAGGCCGTGTTGTTTATAAACTTAGTTCATATTCGCTATTTAGAGTGAATGTGTTGATGAGGGAAAATTGTCACGGACATGGTCCAGGTGGTAAACTGTTGTTTGGGATGATGGCGCACTGAAACATGCTTCGCCAGATATTGAACTGTGTGAGGACTTGACGAATTTCGACTGTTTTTCTCAATTTCTAGTCGGTTCACTGCTACTGAGTGCAGGTTGTCGATGCAACTTTCAATAAAGCCAGAAACGAGTATTGTGCATTCATGTGTTTTGATTACTCGTCGAAATGCGGACGAAACGAAATGGATTTATCAGTGTATGTGACACGTAGTTTGATTGAACGCCGTGTTATTCTTTCAGTATTCATCAAGCTTTGAAGTGTCTGTCATCTACATAACCGACCAGTAGTCAAGAACTGGCTTCAAGGGTCTGGCCATAACGCGGTCTTTTCTCTCCTGGTGCGTAGGACATTAAACGAGTTTATAGTCGGAAGAGCAAACATGCATACGCGTAGTCTCTTTGTAAGGGACGCCGGCCAACCTAGTGGTTAATTTCCACAGTGGAGATGTCCGATGGCTCTTTCGGCCATCTACTTTATACTTCCATTGTGTTTCCATACATCCCTTTTTCTAGGTAAATTTGTTCAACCGTGATTACGATATGCTGATCTTTCGTGTGAACTCTTTGATATCCCACGTCAACGCAGTAAGTGATGCAGGTTGTGTTTTGCACAATCTTTCCTTCCGTTTTGCAATTACTGTTTTTAGCACTGGATTAAACAATACCCGTCGTTTGTCAGCAATGACCACTGTGCACTGCACCTCGAACAGTTGTCTTCCCTATGCTGTCTAACAGCCCGTAGCCGGTTCGATTTCGTGTCACCGAATCGCCAAATTTTCCGAAGGGCTACTATCATTACTACTTGGTATACTCACCGACAGTCGCTATTCCGCGTATTGGTGATAAATTCTGTCCACCTTGTCATCCTGTCCCCTTCATGTCGATGTGTCAACCTCGGCACGAACGCTATCCATGCCTAAATCAAGTGAGAGACTAATCTCACCATGTGATGTCTTGACATTTACATCACCGCTGTCACGAGATTTGCACACAAGGATTCGTCCAGCGTTCGTTTGAAATTTGTGAAAATACATATGCGTAGCATCATGTGGTCGAAAAAGCTTGATGTTTGATTTCTGTTGCTTGGACTGTTTGCTTTGTGAATGTTCGAAACAATGAAGGGACTTGATGCAACTTACAGTCAGTATAACTGAGACATAGTTCAAATAAATTTTGTTGGGCTGGATGCGACTGGCTCTGGACACCGTGAATCACCAAAGCCGTCTCACGGAGTTAGCGATTGACTGATTCTTTTTGTTGCAAAGAGCTACACTTGTTTGTATAACACTAGCAAATCACCGGCTCATGGCAGGTTTTGAAGCCAGAACGTTGCTCTGGCTATTTTCCCACCCTCTTCCTACGGCATGCAGAGCTTAGCTCTGAAGTCGTTTCACTTGTCACTCAGCATGTATCTCAGGTTGTCAGCGCCATTCTTAATTCTGTTTGGTATGTTGAACTCACGAAACAATTGTCAGCTTACCTTTGGGTAAGAGGTCTGAGCCATCGCCCCGAATGTGCTGCAACGTTGGACTAATGCACCTTGAGTAGGACGAGGAGTGAATGGCACAAAGATTGGAAGTCATACCATGGGTTAAGTGGAGGAAATTGATGATTCACGCCATCACATCAGCGCCTCGGTGCAGCAGACTTTCGACGGATAAATTTCAGTATTAAACTAAGTCACGCATCATCTGTCGCTTACTTGGTCTTGGTAACACACTGAGGATCGTCAGCCCTTGTTCACTTATAACAGTGCACAGCGAGAGTAATGATTGTCATATTCGGATTTGTGTGTTCTCCCCCCGTATGTTGTGCAGTATCATAGTTTGCCATTCTGCAGTAGACATTGATGATGGGAATGAAAGTAAAGGCGCGTAAAGGCTAAATTTGGAAGTGTTTGGTGTGTGCGCCTTCAGCGATTTGGTGAAAAGAAGCCTGGCATTTCATCGCGTCTTTCACCTATGTGGTACACCAGATATAGATGTCGGAGAGTAAGTTATGACACCATTTATGATGAACTGTTCACTGCGCCAGATTCACGAAGTTACTTTACTCAGCGAATCGGCCTCCGTCGGCGAGTGCAGCAATAATCAAGTAAAAATACCGAAAGGCTTCCAAGGGTTAAAAATTTACTTACAGATACTGATGGATACTGATGGTTGATGGAGTATATTGCTCACAGGCTGCTGATTACTGTTCGGTAACCCTTCTTGGGGCTCGTCAGGTGGGCGCAGTCTCCAAGGTTCCATCAACTTTGAGTTCCTCTTCTACACCTAATTGTATGCATTTGGTGAAATACACTCATTTGCAAATTAAGTTGGTGTTAACCGGAGACCCAACCGTCTTCAACTGGACGTACTCCACAAAGGCCGTCTCGTATTTAAATTGGTTTGATATTTGAGGTATCACGGGCTGTCGAAGTTGTCAGCAGCTGCAAGAATAGTGCGTTCCAGCAAGGAACGAATATCGTGCCAACCAGAGATGAACTTTTCGCAGCAAATTCAGTTCGAGAATATCGGGGACAGTTGGAATTTGTTGCATCGCCTGTTAACACCAAGTCAATTTGCAAATTACCGTACTTTGCCAACTATTTTTACTTTTCATGACACTGGTTGTATTTTCCTAGTGCGAATCAAATGGTCATGCGTTTCTCCCAAACAGAGACTAGCATTGAATTGACCAATCGCAACACCGGTTTCGGGGTTATTGTGAAGGTAACAACTGTCCAAAATGGGACCGAATCCTTGTCAGCCAAGGTGCCGTCGAAAAACTCATCAAGGATGCTAAAGTACGATAGTTAAAGGGGTTTCTATGAATGAACCATTCCAACACCTGTCGTCTGGATGACAGGTTAAGTGGTCCTGAATGTTCCCCTCACTGACTTTATTTGGTTTGTTATCATTTTCATCCCACTGTCCGTCGCTCACTTTTGTAGAATTGATGGAAACGATCGATGATCCTAGCGCTTTGTTACCGATCGTTTTTTGATCCACATATCCAGTGAACCACACGTCATCTGGCCCCTATTCTCGAAGTACATTTCTCATGGACTGTGAATGAACCTGTTATAGCTGTTTTCCATACATATTTAATTATTTGACTAGGTCGTCAGCCTTCACGGGTGCTTCGGTTGCAGGGATGATGGTCCAGTGTGGCTCTTTGGTTGGACGGAAACACTCCTTGTTGTACCTTTGTGGCGTAGGACTCCTAGTGGTCTTCGCGTCGCTGTCTCGTTTTGGGTCTTTTGCTTCTAGCCCAGTTTTCGTGAGCCTTTATGACTTATTTTGGGATTCTCACATCATTCCATTGTCATCTTTGTAGCTCTACGCTCCTTTCAATATTGCCATCGTGGTCGTTCGTCTAGAGCTCTGGATGCAGGACCGTGATCGTCTGAATATCGAAGAACATCATATCCTCCCGACCCTCGCCCAGTTCAAACGAATGCATACAACGGTTCGACACGACTGTCTTCATGCTCTGTTGTAAGTAGTATGTTTGGAAGTAGTCGTATTTTGTGTATCCTCTGTTAGGATGAGCCTCACGAGAGAGAGTCACAACTTCCATAGCTTTATCTTGCTTGTATTTGTGTACCATTCATGGAAAATGACTGGAATTTAGGAACACAATGTTTCACAGCTGAAGATGGTGTATTTGTATGGATTATATTCCACCGCACTCTGTCGCGGTTTTTTGAGACAGCTTCTGCAGTCTCTGTAACCACCAGCAGATTTACGTTATGTCGACCAATCAAACAATGTTCCATTTCCTGAAATGGACAAGTGTGGTTGTGTGGGTTTGGGATAAACGTACGCAATATAATTTCACAGTCCTGCAAAAAAAAACTAGCCGCCATTTTTTACAGCCGTCTGGTTTCGGCGCCTGCTGCTTCAGTCTGTAGTTTCTGTTCTCACGGCCTCCAGTGACAAATTATTGTGTCTGGTTCGCTCCGGCTCAGCCCTTGTTAACAAACCGACTTTTTTGACGGCACAATGTTTTGCATCACGGAAGTATTTTTTGTGTGGAGCTGTGCATACAGTTGGAATGATGGTCTGTGGTGTTACGCGCATCAGTTCTCATCTTGAACATTGGGTCTGAGGGAAGACAACCAATTGCAGTGCTTTTGGGACTCAGCTTTTTTCAACTCACCGTATAACCACAAGTTTGCAAGTTCCACCGTACTGCCTCTTGTGGGTGAAAGAGCTTGATTTTTTGGATTCTTCCGGAAGCTTGGCCATCCCTAAAGCCAAATGGTCCCGAGATTAACCTTTTTGAGATTGATGCTGTGAGATAACTTGATGGAGAACATGGGGGAAAACAATATGTAGCGAATCAGCCATGTGCAGACGATACTCCTCACGGCAAGTCTTTGTGGACCCACATTTGAACAACTGCCTGATGGAAAAACCATTTGCAAGGGATCTCCGCCTCACTCCACTGGAACGGCTCTGCCCTCCAAGTCAACTGAATCTTGGGAATTTGGAAAGTGCGTGTGTGTGTGTGTGTGCGCGCTCAAATTCGATAGGTTATCAGGGTAGCGAATGGACTCAGCCATATCTACTTGATTGCATGATCTTAGCCGAACACAACCCTGATCAGCGATAGGTTATCAGGGTAGCGAATGGACTCAGCCATATCTACTTGATTGCATGATCTTAGCCGAACACAACCCTGATCAGCGATAATGTAGTTTCCGCGAACTTATTAGCACTTTCCACGTAGCTGCATTTCTCATCTGTCCGGGTACATGCTTTGAACAAGTGAGCGCAAAAAACGCCGCGCATTTGGTTATATGTCCTACGGCTTTTACAACCCTTTTCCTTTTGTTTCTCTGTTAGTTTAGCTTTACCTGTTTACGACTATTCTGTTTCAGTCGCGTCTTTATTGGTTGGCTACATGCGAACCGATGAGAAGCACCAAGGATTCATGCTTCTACTTGCAGAAAGTAATCCAGCAATTGTATTTACACATCTTGTCAGCAAAATGGGAGTGGAACCAGCTTTCAGAAACGCACACATTTTTGTGACATAACAGAGCCTAGTAAGCTGGTCTAGTTTTTGTTCAACGGACTGGCAAAAGCTAGGTCGTGTGGCATGCTTCATCATTGTAAATGTCACATAGTGCCTCCTGTGTTGCGAAGCGGTTCTATCGCACTGTCAACATCAACTGGTTAGAGGTTATGTGCTTTCACCTTGCATAACCCAGAACCAGTGCGTGTTACCGTTTTCAGACTCTGGTTTTGCGGATGATAGTTGCAACACTGCTGTTGCTAAATTGTGCGGGGTCATCATGTAGTTTTTTTTAAATTCTGATCCTTTCAGAGGAGAACGCAAGGAGGGCTCTCCAAATAAAGGCAAGGCGAACTCACACACCATGTGCGTGTTCTCACGCTGTGTTGGCTACACACGGGTACGTTTATCACGTTTGCTTCTCTTACTTGACTCTATCGGAAATACTCTTCCTATTCAGCAGTAGAGCGCATTTTTGTCTCACTTTTAGGGTTAACTAACGGTGTCAAGTTCTTGCTCGAATGTGGACGGGTGAAAAATTATGATTACTCTGACTCATGTGAAGTATGTTGATGAATGGTATGCGAAAATGATCGCAATACTAGATTTAGCCTTCATTCTACTTGAGCATCTGTAAACTTGAGGTTACGCAACGGTCCTCATAGACCAATGTTTGACTTTGTCGAAACCCACATTTGAACAGCCCAAACTAATCTCATGCCCAAAATTATACCGGAGTGTTGTTATCTCGGTTGCGTTCACGAGAGAGATGGCTCAAGTGGTTAGAGCGAGAATTTACCGACCGGAAGGTCCGTGGTTCGAACCCGACCACTGCCTCTCGACTTCCCCTGTCTAGGTTTGCGCGACCTGGCAGTATCCTAGCCCTCGTGCTTCCTTTGCGTAGCATGGCAGTTAGGCACCGAAACGATGTTACAGCTGAACGATTGTCTTTTGCCTTCACGACAAGTTAGGTTGCTGTTGATCAACTTGGCGGTCAGCTGACAAACGTTTCGATGGGATGTCATCAGTGTGCACTTTTATTACACACCTTTATTACGCGTTAACGTACGGCACCGTAGTGCTGAAGGCTTAGGAATGCTTCTGAAAACGTCAATCGAGAACATGTAAGGCGTTGCTTATTCATAGTTTCGCTGTAAGACAAAACCACAGTCTAAAGGGGATATGAAATATTGTTTTCACACTGTGTTTGCAAACAGCGTGGAACATTAATTGAATATTTGGCCAACAGTCCAGGACAACTATCGAGACTGACTACGTTTTCTTTCGATTTCGCTAAATCACTTTATTGAACTCTTCGTAACTCGGGTGCTTCAGTTATTTACGGACCAGGTAGCTGTTGATCTACAACCACTGGTCTTTTTCCCTAGTTCCTGGGAGGGGCATTTCTCTACCTAAACCATCCTACTGGAACACAAATCTTCGCCTCATTATAGGTTGACATACTTTTAGTTCTGTACTACGTGCGTGCCACTTCGAGCATTCGAGATCTTTCGTTTGTGGTTCTACTGCTTTACTGTGATATTTCCCGTAAAGGGTTCCCTGAAGACGCTACCGGTGTAATCACCTTTTTCATTCTGCAGATCGGGCACAATGTGCACTGCGTTCAGCCACAAACGAGCACTCACCTACTGTGCCCTGTCTCGTTTTGGACGAGGAGACCTCGATCCATTTGGTACTAACTAGCAAAAGAATTAAGCTGAAAGGCATTTATGAAACTGTCGACCCCTATTGCGGTGATTGTTTTGCTTAGGCATGAGTGTTATGCCGTGGAAGTGAAGTGCATCCTGCGAGCATGGAGGGTTCATATCACAACCGAGTGAATTCCGTGAACTTCCCTTCATATGGTATCTTACATGAAGTTTTGTTTTACAGAAGGAAATTCGTAAAATATCGGGAACTGTTGGAACTGTTTTTTTCGAAGTGTTGCTTAAATGGATGTTTCTTATAAGGAGTAGTACTGAACAGAGACCTTTTCGGTGGTGAAATCGAACAAGCTCTGTGAATCCGGGTATACCAGAGAAGTGTTCGTTGTCCAAAGGACGAACAGCACGTCTTTTTCAATTAACGTGCACAATCACACTGTCAAATTAGATAGGATGTGCACTACGTTGTAACCTTTTCATCTTGATATAGTGGAGTTCAATCTTTCGTCTATTCCTCTTTCAACTAGAGGAATTTTGCGACTCTCAAAACTTTTCGAACGTTGCCCTGGCACTTAGCATCAGTTTCGATTGGCACCTTACCTTGCCTGGAAAATACAGAAGCTTACTGCGTTACATCATTTATCATTCTATGGTTAAACTACCATTGGATTTCGGTGAAATCTATTTCCTATACTAATCTCTGTCTTCATATTCGGAGCCTGTTTCTGTAGCATTCTATGTAAATGGTATGCATTGTATACAGATACGTACCGTCATTATCACTATCATGAATTTCAATGCTCCAGTAGTGGAAACTGTTGCTTAACTGCCATAGAACATTGGAGTAAAAGGATCCTAGTAAAGATTGAAGAATTAGAGGGGTGGTCGGAACCTACTGCAAAAGCCCTTTGTTCTTAAACCGAAGTGCGAACATCGTTGAAACCAAGGGATCCTTCTGAATGTGGCACCGTCCAACGTCTTCAACAAACCTCGCTCAACCCGAACTCAACGTAACGATTGACAACTTAGACAGTCCGACTAAAGCTAGCAAATGGGATTGGTTATTTGCTACGTCCCGTAGGATTTCCGGCCGGGCGCGAGGAGAATCACGTGGACCCCACCTAGGAGGGCGAGAATATCCCACAGTGCTCAAGTTGACAGCAACCGCTTTCATTTCGCGTCCCGACTTCCTTGGCTCAAATCTAACAAATCTAACAGAAAGCCAACCCCAATACACGTACACTCGCTACACAGTAAAACAGCGTAGGTTTTAACCTCACAGTCCAGCTGATTGGTATTGCTAGGGTTAAGCTACTCGTTTTTCGGCGGTTTTTGATTTCTGGAAACATCCCTGTACAATTTAGCACTAGGGAAGTCAAACAGTGTACTTTCTTTTCCTCGGTCAAACTCTTCCCTTGTCTGCTGCTGTTTACTGTGTCTACCTCCATAAACTCGATATGCATTTGTAATCCCTCATGAACTTTTAACCCTTGACTTGTCGAACCAATTCGGTCAGCCATTTTTTACGCGCGCTTTTTGACCATTTTGCGTTACCACGTGTTGCACCCAGGCGTGCGTCGCAAACTAAGATCGATTTGCTATCTTTTCCGGGCTTTCTTTAGACTTGCACTACGTGCAACAGTTTAGACGGAAACCCCCGTAATTTGAGGTGTGTACCCCTTTTATTACCTATTTTATACATGTAGTACCGCATCTTTTGATGAATCTTAAGATCCACTATTTCTGGCTTGTGATTTTGCGCGTCACTCAAGTAAGTTTTCCCGAATACGTCGAAGTATTCTACAAACAGCTTAAACACTTCATAGCCTGATGGCAGAAATAAGATGACGTATGGCACTGATTACCATTGCTCAACGTTTCAGTCGTTTCGGGGGAGGATCACGGGGAGCCATATAGATAGTAAAACGCTTCTACTTACAAAGAGTAAGCCGATGTGCGGGGCCAGTTGTCCGGTTTATTCCGTTTCTACTTTACTTGTCAGATGTCCACAACACTGGGCCCTTTTTATAGATTTCGTGGAAAAATTTTCGACCAATGGGCAACGTTGTGCATCTGGGATTAGTTAGTTGTTTTTTTTTCTGGTAGGATTTTCATTTTCGTTTGATTCATTGGCATACAAATCAGCCCAGTTTAGCATCTTCCCGTCTAAAGCTAATTTGATGCCTACTAAGCTACAAAAACGTACTTTCCGCCATAGGGAGTTTTAAAATCGTGCGTTCCGTTTTTATCTGACTCGAACTCTCATATTATGTTTCTGATAGTTTCAGAATGCGTACATGGAGCAGTTGAGTTATGCTATGCGACTAGCTCACGGTGCGCCAAGGATCTTGTGTTGACTTGTCTAGCTTGTATGTAATGTATTTGTTTATGATTCGTTGACGAATGCAAATCAAGCTGTCCGTTTGACGTAATCAACCGGCACCTCAGTCCGAGGACGGCTTGTTTATCCAGGTAAGCCGGTGCCAGACGTATAGCCGGCACAATCCAATAGACGCGTCACAACAGCCGCATTCAAATGCAGCTGAATGCGTACCAAAAACGCAAAAATCGCTGATCACGTATGACTTTTCTGTGCATGCCGTTTAGGTTTCATCAGGATACTTTAGCTACTCTAATCAGATGATTAGTTTCTACCCTATAATTCGGGTATGCGCAACCCTTACTTCTTATCTATACTTTTCAATCTAAACTTGGTTTGATTTGACCTAACTGGTATTTGGCTTTGTTAAGCAACTTGGCACTTGCTAGGTGAACCTGGATTCTCGCGTTAGAATAGGCAACCACCTGATGTGTCCCGATCAGCAACCCAGGTCCTGTCTTGGTTGTTGCTTCACCTACCTGTAAGGATAGCGGTGATAAGCTCACATTGCCTATCGAATATTCCGGGTTCAAATCCCGATACAACCAGGACAATTACCGCGTCACTGTTTGGGCAGCCAACACAGCCACATTCGAGTTATCAATTGAGATTTCATCCTGTAGATGAAGCTAAGCCATGCTGAAAAGTCGACAAGCACTGTGTAACTTTTACATTTTTATTTGGAATTATCGGTGGTTGGCATTTCACAAAACTTCAGTGGGTTTTGAATCTACAACCTCCCGGTAGTATGTTGAACACTTACCAGCATGTTAGAGGCAAACTATTTTCACTCACTGAACCCAATGAATTCGTTCGTCGACCAATCTTCAGTTCTTCCGTATAATCGGGCGTTTTATGACTTCACGCTGTTTATTACCTAAGCTTCGATCGTCCGAACTAGTTCAACGTTATTACCTTTTGTGATTGCTTTCCAGGATTCACCTTCGTCTGATATATTGGAAACTGCGCGCACCATGGCTCACGAACTCGGACACAACTTTGGCTTACGTCATGACACAGAGGAATGTAAATGTCAGAGCTGCATTATGGCCACTGGGGTGGAGTACGTTGTTACAGATTGTTTGTCATTTATGATGATGATGCATTTACACCATTGCATGTGTTAGAATTCGCTTGTACGGGACAACATCAAATTTTATGTATGTAACTTGTCTCAGCCCCGAGGACTGCACAAACCTCACCTCCAAATAGCAAATCCGGTATGCAAGTTACAAGGTGACTGAAAGTATTTTTGTTTTTCGGATACTTGAGTGGTGCTGACTGTAACTGAACTGTGGCTTTCGGGTAGTCACGGATCGGAACGACCGATGTTGTAGTCACGGTCCGCTGCCAAAGGTCTACCACGGATAGGTTGCAAGCTGGGCAGTTGCTCTGTCTTGTTCACACCGAGGAGACTGCGTTCTCATGTAATACGGGGTTCCAAAGCGAAGACGGTGCTATAGTATATTAACTAATGGAGGCTCAGTTCAGATTACCTCGTGTTTTGTGCTTCTCCATACACTGGTTAATTTTTCTTTCCTCGATGAAAGGTTCTCTATATGAAGTACAGAATTCCAGGATTGTGTAGCTATGATACACTTTTACGGGACAGAGATTTGTGGAAGAGAATTATAGATAACAGAAACCCAATGTGTTACAATTATCTAAAGGATTCCTTGAGATTCCTTGGGTAGTGATGTACCTCTCGGCGTGTACAGGTTTAGCTTTTCGTCAGACTGACCTTTTGTGCACCGCTACCTCACACTTGCTGTTACCGATTATTCCCAGGTTTGGTACCAATCTAATGGCTTGGTCTCCGTGTTCCGTGCGTGATTTATCCGTGCTACTTGACTATGGAATGGGTGTGTGTTTGCATGACACACCTGTGCACACTGTGGTAGCAATCAGTGCCTACAATCAGCCGAGAAATTTGACCGTATCCAGTGCGGTTCGCGTGTATGACTGGACAACGCAGAGCAGCTCGGAAGTTCGCCCCCCAGCACTCTCTCCTAGATACCGCCATTCCTCACGGCGGTCCACAGCCACAGATCGTCTGTGCGGAAATGGAGTGCTTGATCCAGGTGAAGAATGCGACTGCGGTACGCGGTACGTTTCTCTCCAGTTGATGGTAATCTTCCATTCTATTTGTGCAGTTTTCTCATCTAATACCGGTGGACGAAGTGTTGGCCGCCGATAGCTCCCCAGGTACTTTTCCCAGTGTGCGGTACTGTCGGAGGTTGATTTATAATGTCAGGTTTTGTGAACGGAATGAATCAAACATTGAACTCAAGTTGCGTATTTTCAGATTCACTGTACTACTACGGAATAGTCTCACGCTAATTTCGACCTCTCTAAACTACGAAAAAGTGAAGGCTATCTTGTGCAAATATCACAACATTCTTAGTGTATAAAAATACCCAGTGATTAATTACAAAGATTGAAGATTCCCAAATTTCGTCTAAACCTGCGGTCAGCTAGCCTAATGTCACCGAATTTTTCAACCCAATGCTCTTTCTGTCCACCTGTTCTATCCAATACAAACTTGGTTGCAAGACGCAGAGTTAACCGATTGGTTACTTCTAGCAATCACCGCCACTGGCTTTACGTATGTCTGTGCACCACTGTAGTCTTCGTGGATGAGTGCCCTTGCAGAGAAAGTTGGTTTTACCTGGAATCAAACGCGGGCAGTTACAAGGCCTCTCCAACTGATGTTCCCCCCGGCTTCGAGCAACGTGACCAATGTCGTTGCTTTCAGCACGCATGCCCGGGTGTGTCCAAGGTCGCTCTACTCTGCGTGTTATCCGCTACTGGCCTCTGTCTCTTTTTACCTGTTCGGTTCGTGCACACTGTACATGTGACCGCACGTGATACCACGCACACTTGGAACTATGGCGTATTCCTTCGTGCTACTCTTTGTGACCCTCTTTGTGACTCTGTGACTTTGATAGATATAGTTACATTATAGGGTTCCCACTCATAAAAATACCTGGAAGTCTTAACATGAACTATATACGTAGCCTCATTGTAGAAGCTAAAATGCGACGTTCTAATCAAAATTCATGATAGTTGTGGCAGAACATTTGTTGCTAATAACTTACGAACATGAAACTATGAGATGGATCATGTGAATTAGAAAAAAACGACGAAAAATATGAAGTGCAATAAATCCACTGTTGCTGTTGTGAATTATCCCTCACTTCGGACTCATCAGATGGAGACTAGCGGGCAGTGGTCACGTGATCCTTTAGTGCGGTTCCGGACTATTGACCTCTGGAGCACCTACCTCTCAATCGGTTTCAGCTATGAGGAGGTTCGAGGACAAACGGAACTAATTATGACTAGGTGAAAGCAAATGGACACAAAATGACACTCACTAATCGTCTTTGACCCTTAGCTGTAACTCTTGGCCTCTTTGGTCTTCTGCAAAACTGCCACAAATTTCCACAAAACAGTAAATCAGACAGCGATGAAAGCGTACACCACGGGTGTATTTCTCGCTGAGAAACAACCCACCTTTCAAGTGATGTTATGCACTGACGAATAACCCAGTTGCAACCGAGTAGAGACCGGCGCTTCCATTTTCTTGCGCCTCGTCAGATAAACTAGATTTTCATTACAGCTTGTCTGCCCTGTTTTATGCATCACGACTTTAACAGGTGGCGAACTCCCGGTGTGAATATTTTCCACGTCTAGACTACGCCAATCTCGGGGCAGGAGCCGGTCGATTTCTCGTTATCCACAAGTCTAGTAAGATAAAATGCCACCTATCTCTGATCACACAATCATATTTACTGGACAGCCCAATTATTTATCAGTCGAGGTTGCATCTTGTTTCCTTCTACACACTTAACCCGTCGAATCCTCCTCCATATCATCCCGACTTCCATTCAGTGAATCCTGTCCAATACAGCTACAGGACTGTTGCGATGCCCAGAGGTGCCGATTGAAGCCCGGATCGGAGTGCGCAGGCGGTCCGTGTTGCAAGATCCAGCGGGTGCCTGCCACACGGTCTACACTCGAACGGTTTCAGTGCCGTCTCGCACCGGCTGGAACTGTTTGTCGGAATGAATCAGGCAACTGCGATTTGCCCGAATACTGTGACGGCCTCAGTGGATGGTGCCCTTTGGACGTTTTTAAAGCTGACGGGATTCCTTGTTGGACAGAAGAAGGCACAGAGGTAAAGCACGTGCAGTTAGATTTGAATTACACGACCTCTATGTACGAATTTAACCAATTCGATGTCGACAGGTGGCACCGTTTGTCATGGTCGGTCTCTTGGCTTGAAAAATAGAAGTTCCGAAATATTGGAATGAACAACTGACAGTAACTTGATAGCTATTCCTTATGCAAATAGATGACTTTAAATCTACTTAATCGTGATTGACGTAGAACACAGGTAATCTTTGGGATCTAGACATGGAAAAACTCAACTTCGCCATTTTTTTTCACAGAAAATGTTTGGCTTTTTTTTACCAGAATCAAATGCCGGGTGATGGGAGCTTTTTTGGTTTGAGTCGTGGTTATTACAAGTACTAGCTCACTCACATGGTCGGACGGACTGTTAGCTTGTTTCACGAAGCGAAAACGCCCCCTTAGAGAGTTGTCCGAAGAAATATGATGGTTACAATTTGTTCTACTTTCTTGAAACACATTCTGAGTCGCAACAACTTTGCAAACGGAGTGTCATTTTGAGACCCAAATGAATAGATGTTTTATGACATACAAGAACGATTAAGAGCGTCCGTAAACCTTACAAAATACACCTTTACTATGGAAAATATCACAAGGTAGATGATGTTAATAATTCAACGTTTCGGTGGTGTAGATCATGATCAAGGTTGGTTAATCCAAAGGCGTAACCTGAAACGAGGAAAAAAGACAAGCAAGCCAGTGTTGCATATATATGATACGTGCTCGCCAGGAGTTACTTTGAGATCATAGTGAAGTAAAAGCTGGGTTTTCAGTCTTACTGATGCAGTCTGATATAGGAAGATTTGAGGTCATCCTGTATGGATCTTGTGGTCGGAATCAGTGGCCTTGTTCAGATGGATGGCAAATACTCACTATCAGTACAGTAAATTCAATAAAAGGAGGCCTACGACAGAGCACGCTAATGTTTTTGCTGCAGTTCGTGTTAGAGCTTGTACTCTTCTCCCATAGGCCACACGCTAGGCTGCTTTAACTGCCCACATTGAAAGTAGAAATCAGGGGCCGGTGGTATGCTGTACACAAGGCAAGTGTATGGTGGCTTATCCCACCGGCTTCTCCCACCGAGTCATTGAGATCGACCCGGACTGAACCCGTTTCATGCTCGGATGCGATGTAACCAACCTCCACCTTCCGTCCTACAGAACTAAGCTCCTGGTATTACGACGAAGTGTTTGTCCAACAGAACATTGCCCCTATTCACTAATTTCCAGATACTGTGTCGGGCTTTGCACCTAGCCGAAGCCGCTTATGCAATATTTAAGGAATGGGCCTTATGCACCCTCTACCGAGTGTCTTTCAGTGGATCAAACTGTGGGGAGCTGTTATCTGTGGTAATCACAGTCCGCTTATGCAATTCTGACCTTTGTGTGAAAAAACGTTTGTGCACAAGTTGAACTAGGGTCTCAAGTCAGTTGCGTACTTCAACTTTCGAGCTAGCCACCTGACGCTTTTGTATATTGTGTATTGGGCATAAATTAAGATGTATTGGCTGGATCGCCAGTCACGTATAACATGCCTTGTCCAGTCCTCTAGTACCTCCTGCGGGGATGTTCGATCGTTTAGTCCAACCTCACGCACCGTTTTACTTTTTGCGTGGGCTTGTAATTTCCGTCACTGTATTTCATTGGAGCGATGTCTGGAACGCTGACACTTGAACGTTTGTGGACGCAGCTGCCAAAATTAGTACTCTGCTGTCTCTCTCTGGAGGCTGGTTTAAGTCAATGAGTTGATCCGTATCGGCCTTAGCCGAAAGCAGATGAACGGTGCTCATCCTTACTATTAAAAGCAATGTAGCTTGAATTTCCAGACAGATAAATCGTTGGTGGTTGCTGCCTGGTTACATTTTACCCAGCGTTCTTATAAGTGAACTGATAACTAGTTGTTTCTTCCTTGATTACTCTACGTGGACCTCTCAGAGGGCTCCAATTCCGTTTAGGTGTCACATTTCTGACTTTTGAATGGCAGCGGACATTGGTTGAAGGACATTACCGTCCTTTCATACTTCTCGATTGGGTGCCACTAAATGTGTACATGTTGATTTATTGATGTTTCTTCACATCGGGTGCACCAAATGTCACTCCAGATGCATTTACTATAGTTTCAAGAGCATTTTTCTTAGACTTTGAAGACCTAGTGCATTGTTTTAGGAGGGCAGTTCTTTGTGCTGTCCATGTCACTGTTTATCTTGACTTCTCTGCTTCACTTTGCAGTCATACTGTGCTCGTGGCGGGTGCCGTGAGGCAGATAGCTGGTGTCGAGTACTTTGGGGCAAACGTGGCCGGCGTGCTCACCCATATTGCTTCGACGAGAATCACGGTATCCCCAAAGGTGTACCTGTGGATCCGGTGGCCAACTGTGGTAAACGTAAACCCCTCTCCGAAGAACGCTGGGAAGATCCGAAATCGTGGCCCGGTATACGGTGTCCATCTGTGTGAGTTTAATTATATCGCTTTTTGCCCCAGTTATCCAGCTTTTTGCAAGCGGTCTGCTTTTGAATACTCTTGATTTCCAGCAGCCATATATCTACTCCAGAGTGTTTTTCATGGGCGCTTTCTATTTTGAAGGGTTCCTGTGCTCTGTCAGGCTGTTTTCAAAACGCTGCGGGACACACGAACCCGGCTACAAACTCACTTGATCCTTCCTGTCGTCTATCGTGACTACGGCAGCACATTCAAATTTACGCTGGTACACTCACAATATAGTTCATAATATCAAAAGATATGAAAAAAGTTATCGGTCAGCGGTCATTGTTTTTTAATATAGGTATTCTCCCGTAAAACAAGATCAATCCGTTATGATAAACCAGATGTCACTGTAGAGCTGCTTGGCGCTCTTTAGAATTCATCATCAGTGCCCGTCTCATGAATCTCCTGGGAGAAGGAAATCCACCTTGCGGGCAGGAGTTCCACGGCATAATTTGATGTAAGCCGCTCTCCTGCTTATCAGTAAATTCTTTGTTAGTGCGACGTAAACCTATACATCGGTATTTAACCGCGTTATTTGGATCTTCACGAGCGATCAGTTCATGCCACCTAACTGAATTCAGATGAAAGATACAAAACACTGACCATGATTGGGAACTCGTGCGTTGTTCTGTTGCACTTTATGGTCTCGTTGTCTTCTTTTTTGCATTCCAACTGCGACGTTTTCCAGCCCACAGAGCTAGGCTAAATTTCCGATAAAACCAAAATAAACCTTAGTACAGAGGAGCTCGATGGTACTGCGAGAAAGCGTTTGCGACAACCATCATTCAACATGACACTCTGCATCAACGGAATAAGGCGTTTCCACGGTGTCTAGCGTGGAAGTGGTGAGAACAAAGAACAAACAAAGCTAGCTTTTTTACTCGACCAACAATTGTGCGTTTAGAATTATAATCCAAGCGCACTTTTCAGCCGTGGTAATCCTCCCTGGATACCTAGCAGGTCTCTGAATAGTTCAAGCAGGCATTCCCCATGGATGGTGTCCACATCAGCAGTGACGGGAGGAAACCATTTACAATCCACGACTTCCTTCTCAGTGGAATGTTACTTTGGTTGATGAGACGCAAATTAATTTCATTCGAACTGCTTACTCGAGTACCACCACTCCCTAGATTTTAAAAAGTTCTCAGAGAATGACCTCGATGAATGGGACCGCCCTAGACAGATAGGAGATAGCTGGAACGCAGCTCACTGATCTGAACCAAAACTGAGCAATGTACTTCCCTCAACATGTAAGAGTGAGTGATGTCCTGATACAGGAAAATGGCCACTAATGCCACATGAGGCTTGCTCTGATCACTAGCCACTGAAGGAGCCAGTTTCATGCTGTTGGGTGTGAAATTTAAAGTTTCGACTTTGAGATCGCTTCACTGTTTATCTGAAGTACTCTGCATATTTAACCCTGAAATCTCATTGTACCGTTGACTCCACTGCACTTTTTCCAGGCAAGACGCGGAATGTGGTCGTTTATGGTGTCATCACCAGAATGAAAAAGCGATGATACTTGGTTGGATAGAGTCACAAACCCGATATTTGTCTTCTGTTGAGCAGTCCTGTTCCGCCTTGGTTTATGATCCAGTCTGGCCCGCCTCCGACCCTTCCACTTGGGATGCTAGCAAGAAGCGACAAATGAACTTGAACGTCGCCGGTGTTGGCCTTTTAAGTGCTGTCACACAAGACGCTGGAATGGTACCCGATGGCACCCCGTGCTCCAGAGGAGTGAGTGGTTTGGTCTTCCTTGTCACCTGTATCACACCGCCTATCCTGTTTGATCTGCTTCACTGAACGAAACCTCTTACGCTTGTTGGTCACCTTATATTTTCTCGCTCTTCCGTTGTTGTCCTACCATCCTGATCAGTGGCTATAAAAATACCATAGCCTACCTTTGGTACACCTGGCGCCTAGTTTCTGTTCAGTGTGCTTGCAAGTATGACATACCGCACCATCGAGCATCTAAAGCTGCTTGATGTCCAGTGCTGTGTGTCCCTTTGTGTTTTAAACTCTTTAACGAATTAAGTAGGTATGGCGCCTGTCACTGTGTAGCCTTGACAATTCGGGTTCTTCTTCGTCCCTTAAACTCCATCGTGGTCAATAAAATCTTTCCAGAGCTATCACAAAAGGCGGTCCTCTATGGACCTTATTGTCAGGATGCAAATCAAATCGAGCCTTCTGGCTCTAATATCCTCTGAAAACGATAACGCGTGATGGTTCATTACATTCCTTCTACCGTTTCTTCAATATACTATTACCACGAGAAGGCTACTATAACGGTGGCGAAAATTCACACTGCCTTGGAACCGAATCATGTCTGCTTCTCCCAGTCTAGTTCACTAATCCATAGTTTGTCACTTTCTCTTATCACAAATCAGATGTGCTACAACGGTTCGTGTGTTCCTCATTCCGAGATCAGAGCTCGATTCCAATGTGACTGTCGTGGTCATGGCGTAAGTAGTGATTCGTTTTGTTATTTCACACCATCAATTTGTGGTTGTTTTCAGTGATCCTGTTCGACCACGCTATTGGTTGCCAAGTCTCTGTCTGTTCCTACTTAAATATATATGCAAATTGGTAGTTTGAGCTCAGTTTTCTCCCACGACACTGATGTAATAATCTCTTTATCTTGATGCCAGCCCAGTTTTGAATCTCTAAGGTTGTGCACGTCACCAGAGGAAGGCCGTCTTTATATCCGATCGCCTCTGACTTGATCGAATTAGCTTGTTTTTTTTACTCAAAGTGAAGTGTGGTATACTAATCTTTCCTCCTTACACAATGTTTTCCGCCTGTCACGATTGCTTCGCGCTTACGACAAACGTTCTTCAAGGTACGGTTGTGCGCGAAAACCTCAACGGGATAAGCTTTTTGTATCTGATCTCCCAGAATTACGGTTGATCCTCTACTTGCTTATTTTTTTTAGGGAAAATACTTCAAAACGCTGACCCATAATTCACCGCAATTATTTGATGTGTCTTTTCTAACCTAATGACGCGTGAATTCTGGCGCTGTTTTCGCTGGGTTTACACTGTCACTACCCAGTGATGTTTTCTACGTTTTTTGAGGAAAAAAAATCACAAACGTAATTTGGCGAATGGCACTCATTTGCAAGTGAGGTTGGTTTAACGGGAAATTCATCTGAATCCCGGCTGAATCTGTCATTTATGATATTCTCCATTTGAATGTGCCGCGCAAAGGTCGCCTCATGTGTCTGTCGGTGGGATGTTTTAGATATCGAGGTGTACGTTCTCGGCATAGTGGGCTATTGATGCGGTGGCCAAGCACTCTGACATTCCACTATCAGTTTCGTCCCTCATGTGGCTCATCAGATGGACTCATCCGAGAATTTTCGTCAACCTCAGGTTCTACTTGAATCACATGCATGCTACCGATTTGCAATTCACTTCGATGTTAGACTGAACTGAATTTCTCGTCCGTGATATGCTTCAGTGCGAATCGTGTTGTAGTATTCCTGGTGAGGGATATTGTTGCAATTCTCAGACCACCATAGTAGTGCGAATGTGTCTGTTCCACCCATTTGTAAACCCTGTTGCAATCTTCTCGGCGCATACATCTCAAAGTGCTAGTCATTTGTGGCACTGCAAAGGGACAAGGTTCAATGTCCAGGCAATCATCTCATAAGGATGTCGGGTAGAATTGTGTAACCCCGCACGCGTGAGTTGAGGTCTGTTATGGCAACGAACTATCAGTGTTGAATGCTGATACAGAGGATGATGGTGATGACATACGTGAGTCAGACACCGATCGCATATTTGGTTAGTCATTTCTGATACGGTTGAGTTATTCGATCGGGTGGTCAGCTAGCCGCAGTAACCACAATGTGCCCAAATATTAAGTGTCACGGTGACAACCTCGGTTCTATGTTGCGCAGACCTATATAGGATGAGTCAGAAGTCAATACTTGTAAGTTCTCGCATCTATTTCAGGGTTAGAACACAAGTTGTCAACTCTCACTGCTTCTGAATCTGGAGTAGATTTATTCATTTGGATTCCAGTCGTGACAGTGAAAGTAAAGGAGGAGTGAAGTACTTTGCTCTGACCCAGTAGATTTTTGAGATAATCTATCGGGGTTTATTCTACGGCTACTGAACCTAAAGTAGCCTAGATAATAGGGTCCCGCGCGCAGTGATTAAAACACTTTATTGTGTGTGTCGGGCCAAGCTCAACTATTGAATTTATCAGTTTATTGTGGATCCACAATATCTCAAGAAACGAATCATTCAGAACATCTAGTTGTTTACCTAAACATATTGTCTTCCTCCTTCTTCATGGACTGAACTGTTCGATTATCAAACTGTCCCTTCTGCAGTGGGGACTTTTCTTGAGGAATGACGTAGCTTTGCCTTCAGTGGATGTTCTGGGCGGCAGCCAAAGAAACTTGTTTATACTATCACGGAAGAAAACCATAGTCATTTGATTGTTGATGGGAGATGCGTTTCTATGGCCCGGTAGTAGCATGTTTAAGCTTTACCGTATCAATTTTTTTTCCGTAATTGGTTTCTAATTATGATGAAAGCCACTGTGACAGGTAACGTCCTGCGCTTGAAGCTTGTCCTCTCCGTTATAAGTCCATAGTTCTGCTGCTCCATTTTTCTGTATTTATCATTAATGACGATTCTTGTTTTTTTCCCTCCCACAGATTTGCAACAACCTTGGGCATTGCCACTGTGACCCTGGATTTCACCCCCCAGTTTGCGAGTTTGGTGGCGATGGAGGAAGTGTGGACAGCGGGCCGCCACCGTCGGGTTAGTTCTCATCACTGTAACGCGACCTAGCTTTGTGTCCCTCTTTTTTATTGCTTGCGCCTGCACTGCTCATATTCAATGGGATCTTACATCAGATGGAGTTGTCCCGTTTCTTTTTTGCACATTGCCGCTTTTTCCAGTATGAAAAAAGACTCGCTTTGTTTGTCTTGCACTACACATGCATGACCAAACGAATGTGGCTTTCATAATTTTAGACATCGGAATCAAACAAATGTCTCATTCTGCTTACTGGTGCATACCTGTCTCGCTCGCCCTAGTTACTCCCTCTAAGCAGTTCCAACTCGCGGATCATGGAGTGACTCGCTCGAAGGTAAAGCCTCGCAACAATTAATCTGAGCCAACAAGACTTTAATGTGTCCCCCCATTGGCTACGCTTCAATCTTTGGTCCGCGATACTACTCTTGATCATTTAGTAGCACGAGGACGAGAAAAATGACAAACGGATGGCTTGATGCTGGCGGAACCCGTCTGTTGACATCCTCCCTGTTGCTTGTTTATTGTATTTTATCCGTAGGAGATGTGTTTTAGCCTAATTGTATTACAAAGGATATTTTTGAGTTCCGTACATGACAACGTCTACTTCACTTTTTCCTACACAGTCGATGACAAAAACTAATTAGGTCCACCCAGCTACGCTCGAGCCCCGTTACCGTTGGTTATGAAAGAAATCAGGTTATGTCAAGCTACTGACGTACTCGTAAGCGTGTTCAAGTACGGTAGCGCGAGTGCGTTTACTGTTGGTTGATCAGACGACCACAGATCTGATCGGAAAATTTATAAACATCTGCAAGTGAGGGGCAGTACCCACCCAACTCTCCTTGGCTGGGGACGAAACGCTGCCAAGTTCAGCGAACAGATCAATGGTCACGTGACTCACTTCAGCTGTGCTCTTCTCGACTTTGAATGTTGAGATTTTTCTTCGGAAAATCTGGTGCACACGCGAATCGTCTCACTGTACTATGCAATCGCCGTCACATGATCTCCTTAACCGCCCACCGCGTAACACCGTAATCCACTCGTTACATTTTGACCGCTCGTTCTTTACTTGTTGCATTTAATGAATTATTTCTGAGTTGTTGGGTGCATTTCTCACACCTCACGTGGTGTTATTCTGGTGTTTTGCTTCGGTGTTCCAAACGCGTAATCTGTATGCTTATACCAGAATCAACCTACAACTAGCTATGTCGTGTCCCGTTTGATTTAACAGCGTCCCGATCTTGGAATTCATTTGATCGCAACACTAATTCGCGTGCATCCGTTTTGTTACCACCATGGGCTCCGCCTACGTGGTACAATAATCCTCCGAACGGAAGACCTCGTGTGTTAATAACATCTAGCACCTCGCCCAGACCAGCCGTCACTAACTGGCCGCGTGCCCGTCCTACAATAAATAAACCAAAGTCTACCGATCCGACGCCATACCCATCGGGCCGTAGGCATAAACAACGCACTAAGTATCCACTACAGCCTCCGTGGCGTACCACTTCCCCTACCTCCGTACCCTTCGCATCTACATCTGCACCTGTGTCTACTACCGGAAGATCAACCGATGTCATAGGTCAACCGGGTTTGTTGGCATCGACCCATGTTTATAAGTTCCATGCATCGCGAATTTTATTGTTTGCACCCACCATGAGCCACCCATTTGCTTGCTTGCCGCTGCACTTTTGAGCACTCTAAACCAGCATCATCACCTGCTTCTTCATACTGTAATGGTATACTGTGACTCTTAAATGGCTACTCACTTGGTGCACCATGATGAAACAAAAACTGGGCTGTTTGTTTTGTGCTCTTCTTTTTGTCTCAGCAGGAAACAATAAAATAGAACATAGTGATAGTGAATATACATGGCCTTTGCTTCAGTTCAACTCTCAGAACAGACACTTGAAAAAAACATGTGTCAACATAGTGTGAGGCTTTTTTTATATCTTGATTGTATGGATGTGGCACAATTTCACACATGACAGTCAGGTGTCATCTGTCTTACCATCGTATTGACCGTGGATTGATTGGTGACACGAGATAGGAGAGTATTGAGATGGCGGTGAGACAGCTTAAATGAAAATCTGAGGCTCACGGAATGAGGACTACACAAAATGGATCGTAGTCGTCCGATCCCTAAGGTTTATCTGTATAAGCTTCCTGTGGAAAATAGAAGCTTGATCATCGAAGCAAGTCCTGTGTCATGTCGTTGTTTTTGGTCAACAGATGATGATCACCATCACTGACAGAAACACCAGTTGAGAACACTGGTGGTTCACTCCCACAATGCAGTCTTTATATTTGGTTTAGTGTCCCTGACCGCCCAATGACAATTTGATCGTCTCCGTCAGAATTCTGCTGTGCCTGGTTAGTGTATAGAAGGTTACCCCTAAAGACAGACCACTCACCTGGATAATTCACAGCATCGTCAGTCACCATCCAGCGTAGATCTCCTTGAAGAGAAGACACCTCAAAAAATGCTTTATCTTTCAGGTTAGCTGGAGAAAGATGGTTGACTGGAATGAAATGCTACAGGGATATGAACTAACATGATAGCTACATCCACTCTATAACTCATGGTTTCAGTCTACTTGAATTTATGGGCTACACATTTTCACGCATTACCGCTTGCACGATTTTCTTTTGTTAACACTCATTCGTGTTGGGGCCAAGGAGACATTTTTAAACTCTTGCGCGTGCACACTTACCATACGTGTTCCTGTGTGTTTGCACATCGAGGCGCTTCTAATTGTTTTACATCTTTGCCCATTACCCCTCTTCTACACTGTCTACTACTACTAACTAGATAAAACCCGGAATCGTTTGCCAGACATAAGTAGTTTTATTCCTCCGAAGTCCACGTTTTTCTTGAGTCCTTATGCAACATACAAGTATGTTCGTTGGTCTGTTTGCTGAGTTGGGTAAATTGCTTGCAAACGCTCTGGTTGGTTACAAAACATTTGCAATCAACTTGTCCAGGTAAAAATTCCCTTCTACTGAGGGAAATTTTGTTGTACGTGTGTACTTCGAAGACAGCATTGTACGATACTCCGTTCAGAATTACCATCGAATACTGGCATAAGCAGTACGCGGTACTAACACCTTTTCGCTGAATAGCATTGCCACTGTCGAGCATAACAACCTCTTTTATCCCATACAATCGTTTCGGGGAACCCTTCCGTACCGCTACGATCGTTCACCCTTACCCATTTCTCGCATTTCTTTTCAGACTTGATACCGAAGCCATCACTGGTCATCGGGATTTCTCTGCTTGTGTTTTTTGGACTACCCCTGGTGGTTTTCACAGTCTACTGTGCTATATATCATCGGTGTCGATGGATACCGATTGGCGCTGATCCCATGATCCCAACCAAGTCAGGCCTACGGACACCGTTCGACAGAGGGCTCCTTCCGTGTATTCGTCAGTGTTGCAGGTAAGTGACAAGTTTAGAAGTTCCCTTTAATTTAATTCCCTTGAAATCCGCCTAATCGGTGGTCTGTCATGTCGATGACTGAGTTGATGTTGGTATGTCTTTTGGTAATGTGTTGGAATATTGGTAGCTCGGGAGAGTTTATTGGTTGTTGATCAGGTGGCTGTTGATCTGTTCGCCGAGCTTGGCAATTGGTTTGCAAACGTTTCGTCACCATACGAGGAGACATCATCAGTGAGTCCCCACCCAACTGCGCACTGATGATGTCTCCTCGTATGGTGACGAAACGTTTGCAAACCAATTGCCAAGCTCGGCGAACAGATCAACAGCCACCTGATCAGCAACCAGTATGCCTTTTGTTTGCCACTTTTCAACGGCCTAGATATAGTCATCCACACGACCACTGGCCTGGCAATTGTCGTCCGTTGACCTCAGGCCCGCGCATTCGCTCAAGGACCCTGGGGAGCTGCCGATCTGACTGGGGTACAAATAGTACTGCAAATAGCTACAAGAATAGAACAACTTGACGGCCATTCTCGTCGCCTTGATAGACAACTAAAGCGAATGATATCCAAAGGTTCATTCAGATGAACACAGATGAAAGTGCTGTGAATATTACGATTGAGAAACCTGTCGATGGTGTAACTTATTAAAGCAAACTGGTATGTTGAAATATCACGTGGAAACCTGGGCAGGAAACCGCGTCGCTCAGCTATTTTAGTTGCTCCTTCCATGCATAGGTGCCCGACAACATCTAGTCGATTTCAGCTGCTACATCTTCGAGTGAATGATCACTAACACACTTCGAGTGCGCGAAGTCTCTCAGAGCGGTTGTTTTACAAACCCGAAAAACGACTTTGAGGTCTGTTGATGGTCGATTTGTATAACCTCCGAAGTTTAGACATCACCTAAGCTATCTGTGAATACCTTACAGTTTTATCTCTACAGCGGAATAGATTTGCGTAGCCGAACCAAGTGTCTCTAAGTGCGACACAGAAGTCAGATGTGGCAGAGAGAGGTACATGGATGAGTGAGTGTGAAATCCTTTCAGATTCCCCTTACCCGTTTTGCGTATTTTTTAAACCGGTCAACCTCGTATTCGCCGGGTCAAAATGTTTAACTCATCAACGGCACATCAACATAATTGTATAGCTTTTGTAATGCTAGTCCACATCTCATTTGCCCGTCGTACAGCCTCCCACCCTCGTTCACCGAATGGTATAACCGTTACCTTCGGCAACGATATTCTCGGCCCCTTTCCCACCAGTCCGATGATTCTTCTGAACGATCTGTGGTTGGTCAGTTTCGGTGTGTGCGGGTTATCGGACGTACTTTCAAACCAGCTCTGATTCGCGTAGTGTCGTTGTTTTTCTAATATTTTTTTCGCACTATAATTAATGCTGGTGCTTGTGTGGTCAACATCATAGCATTCATCTTTGAAAATTTGTGGCTGTTCGAGGGAATCATCTTAACTACTCAGATACCCGTATGGTTAGTGAATTATCGTAGCATCATTAAGGTGTTCTCCAAATGTCTCATGTTGTCTTCTTCCGAAGCCAAGACTCAAAGAGAAAGTCGCGGCTAATAAGCACTGCGTCCCCACATTACTCATTATCGCTGAACGACAAGCCCCAAGTTTGTTCGAAGCTTGAGAGATATCGAATTGACGTGGGTTTTTCATGACAACACCTTGTGGAATAGCTGCGATCAGCTCAGTCAAGGAACCAGAATTCCCTGATGTTGCGGGACCACAGAATCATCCCTAACTTCCCATCGATTTATTGCACGTTTCTTTCAATCTGCCTCGACTATGGATCCCAAGATCTTTTGTACAATTAGTGCCATCGGATATTCTGATCATCTCCAGACGATCTGGGCGACTAACTTGATTAATTACATGAGGCTACTCTGGTTTTGGTGATTAGAACCCTCCCTAATTGTTATATTATATTATCGCATCTATATTAATATTAGGCCCATGGTGAATCCGCTTATAACCCCAGGTGGATATAGCACCAATTTACCTGCACACCAGTATTCCTAATCTCCATGTTGATACCTTTGCAGACGAGCTGGAAACAAGCCAAGAGGTGTTTCCTATATCGCCGGCGATGCCAGTTACCCGGCGATTCACAGGAATGCACATCAGCCCAGTTCCTTACACGTCCGGTCTAATAGACGATCTAACGGTGACAAACTTATAAGGGTAGTAGTGAACCCCGTGCAGAACGGGACTATTACTTCAGTTTCAAACAATGACTTGAAATCGAATGGGCTCAAGGTGACAAAAATGCAGAACAGGCGCTACCAACCTCCCCCCATGGCACCGAAGCCTCTTGGATTGATCACGGTGAACGGGTACAAGTCTAACTGCAATGCCTTCACGGCACCTGAAAGGCCCATGAACTGGACGGACCACAACGAACAGAACCCGATGTTCAGTAGCCGAGCTAATCATGAACTTGACAACTGCAATGGTTATGTGAAAAGTGAGTCATTCTGTCGCATTGACCGAATATGTGGATAATATCATCCTTGATATTTTGAACCGTATTGAGTCGTGGTCAGCTATCGGGCATTTCTCAATAAGATGTCATGCTGGTGGAATCAGTGGATCTGTTCCAGATAAGCCCCGCCAAAAAAATTAACCCCCGCCACCCGAAAAGATTAGAAAGAAGGGGATTTGATATTTGTACTTTTAGTTTTCCTTGGAAAGAGTAAAATTGGGACATGTCATCAATAATTTGCAGGAAAAGGTCCATTTTTCGGTACCTTTGCCTCCAAACATGCTCACACAAGTAGTTGTCCACGAAACGCCGCATTGGCGTTTATTCTGCATCTTGTAGACGTGCCAAAGAGATTCGATGGTTCTTCCAGTCAACAGCGGTCGTGTCACTAGTAGATGATTCCTCTGAAGAGAATTTGATTTTGGTCACATTTTTGGACCAGCAATAAATGCATAGAATCACTGTTCTAAACTTCATCCTAGACCGCTTCAGCCAAGTTCCCTTTCGAAGACCGATTTCTTGCCGATACTATCGGGTATTACACCTCCACCTGTCAGAAGCGGTTGAAAATGTTATTTAGTGGCCATTGTTGCATCAACGTTGCTGGTGGATCACTCCGTGGCTTTGCAAAAGACGTATTACCATCTCCTTGCCATGAACGAGAGTTCAAAGCGTCAGAAAGTTTTACGCCCGAACGGAGGAAATATTCGCACAAAATGAGCCTTGATGTGGATAAGGAATTGTTTCCATCAAAAATAGATAGGCGTTATGTGCGTACATTAAATTGGAGCTGACAAAAAGTGGCGGGGCTTAACTTTCCGATCGTGCACTTTTTGCATTGGTGGCGGGGCTTATCTGGAAAACATCCGAACCAGTTAGTACGCTGTACTGGTGCAAATGTGTTTAGCAGCACTCTGGAATGATTCCGATACAGTCCCTGAGGTATATATATATATATATATATATATGGTTATGTATTAGAATGGACTGCCAGATGTCACCAACTTCACTGCACATGTTGCATTTTTTTGGATATCGTATTAATTTCAGAAAATTGTTCGACGCCTAACTCCCTACTTTGGTTCCTGACTTTTAAGAAGCAATCACAGGGGCGGTGCCTAACGAGTAGGTCGAATAATTGCATAGTCCGAACTTTTTATCTCATCTCACAGAATCAGACTGCGCACGTACCAACCTCCACTGCTCGGGTAATGCGCAAAAGCCCATCACCGGATTGTTACAACAAAGGTCCATCCAAATCATTGAAGGAAAGCCGAAATCGCGGAACAACGATGCTGTTCCATCACCAATTTCTCACGATTCCGAGTCAAAGGATCGCCAAACCATTGACATTTCTGAGCCACATCTGAAAGACATGACTTATCGAGGGCCTATCTGTTCACTATCCGAAGCTCTGAATACGCTTCGTCGAGGTGATCAAGTTTCGTCCATCGAACCGAGTCAGGTGGCTAAAAAGCAAAGACGAGTGGTGAGGCGACCTTCCCGGTTGAAAACACTCGACTATGGATCGTTGCTGAAGAAGCCCTCTTTTAGACGCACCCAGTCACAACATCGTGAACCGTCAATGTCCCAGGTGCAACCAAGGTGGGATATTTCAGCGCCTCGCTTGGAGAGTACCACCTACACTGAGTCGTTGAATGACCTGGATACCGCACGAATGCTCATCTCGCGCTAATTTCGCGCAGGTGACTAAGTCCTCCTTCCACATGCATTTGCTTTTTTCATACAGATTTCCGTCATTCCAAGAAAACAATTACAATACATTTGGTTGCTTTTACTTACATTTCCGCATGCGGCTATTCTCTTTCCCGATAGACCGCCTGTTCCTAGATGTTTTTCTGTTTGCCATCATGCCTTCCTGAAACAAGAACACTTCCACACAGTAAAACTACATTGTTGTTTAAATTGATCGCCCTTTCCGACTGTCTTTCTCCTCCGCAACTGGTCAAATGTGCCCAATTACATGATTTAACACTAACGTCGTAATTCAACCACATGATATCCATCCGACCTTTCTTCCCATTCAATGCAGTCTTTGTGAACTGCAGTCACCAACGAATACCCTAGTGAATGTTGCATTTTGATACCTATTCCCCCTCCCTTCGGCAGGGTTAGCAGTCCATTTAGCAAGTGCTCACATTCTATCGTGCAAACGCGATTAGCGGTTTGTAACTAGAAGTGTTTTAATCCACATGGCGTGAAAAGCGTAGCCTTCTTTTTTATGGCTGCACGGATCTACGCTTTCAGCTGTTTTTCCGTTGTTTCTTTTTGCTACCAGGGCTTATTACCGCTAGTATGGTTGGTGCTTTTACCGTTCCCAACCCCCCCTCTTTTTTGGCACACACACACACGCGCACCAGAATTTTTCACTTTTAATTTTGTAATTCTAATGTCTGTGATTATTAATATGTGACTTGTGCAACANGGCTTATTACCGCTAGTTTGGTTGGTGTTTTTACCGTTCCCCCCCCCCCCCCTCTTTTTTGGCACACACACACGCGCACCAGAATTTTTCACTTTTAATTTTGTAATTCTAATGTCTGTGATTATTAATATGTGACTTGTGCAACGAACAATAGGCTTGTCTAAACTGGGGACATTTCCGACTTGTTTACATGTAGCGATTTGTGGTCATCCGTAAGTCATCTTCGTACTCATCCTGGCTAGCAGCGAGTGAAAATCTTCTAAGATCGGGACCAAAGTGGCGACGTCCGGCCTCGTCACGTCTTCTTTCGAAGGTTTACCACTTAAGGTGAACATCGTTGATACTGAAAGGCTCCTGCGATGCGAGGACATCTGAAGGAATTCCATTTCCTGGCTTGTCAGACAGTTCGGGCGCGCAACCATTAGGTTACCACCCTGGTCATTAGTGTGCTTGATTCCCACTGATATGATATAGTGCTGATAAAAAAAACTGGACAGCGGGCCTCGCCAGGACGAACGATATTCGTAACAACTCGATTCTCATTTGTTACAGACACTTAAGATGAAAAGTTGGCAATGATGGTAGTGCGGCTCTGTCATCAAGCACTCAGTTCGTGAATTCTTCGTCACTTCCCCTCCCGTTCGCTGAGATTGCTGTAAACTTACGCCGTTAGGATACTCCCCACTCCGCTACACTAGCTTCTCGCTGTTCATACTACGTCCTCAAAGGATAGCACATTTGGTCGGAACTTTAAACTCTAAAGAGGACATCGGACCACGGGTCGATTGTCGAAGCAGATTTTGGTCGAAATTTCTCAGAGGGGACAGGAAATTCATTACTTCTGATCGCAATGAAGCCTATTGTTTCTCATGAATATCGGTGATTGCTAGTTTCAGTGAGAATCCATTGCCAGCGATATGAAAGCTACCCGTTTGAAGATACGTTCATGGGTGCCTTGGAGGCAACGAAAATGTGGCTGCGTAACGCTCCTAGTCAACGTGCGGAGCATTTTCACCCTCAAATGGGAATCCGTACGCCAGTCGAACTTGGCCAAACAAGTAGACGGATTAAAAACAACTCAGCTGAAGGTGCTACACGGCACGCAATAGTCCTGGATGATATCCGAAGCAAAGGGATATTCAGTGTAGCCAGGACCTATTAGGTCATGTTGAACACGTGACTACCGACCGGACGAATTAACCCAAATCGTACACAAAACTTTTTTAACGCAACACACTACTTATAAGGCTGCTGATAACTATTTGATAATTTAATACCGGTCTCATCCTTCTTAACGCCTATAGGTGTGTTCAATCCGCAAATTTCCGTCAGCCTTACATTCTAATTGAACGACAATTCGTATGCAAGTGAGGAAACCTACGCGTTTGCTAAGTAGCTTGGTGTGAACGGGAAACTCATCTTTTCAGCGGGCACAATACTCGGGTTATCAAAGCATATTATGATGGCGGAACACAGTACCAATAAGGTTGCTGATATTCCTCATATGTTGTACACATGCGATTAAGTGTCTGTTTAAACCAGAGGAATTCGCCGTTGAAAACTGTTGTTTTTTTATTCTACGAACCAATGGATTGTCAGTGGAACTAGCAATCGGCAAGTCATGGAAACTAATGTGCTACATTGCGATAGGAAATACTGAACTTTCACTCTCCTCTAAGATACATACCGACCATAATTGCTTCGAAAACTGACCTGTGCTCCGAGCTGATCGATGTCCTCGCCAGGGTTAAAAGTTGTAAGCAAATGTGCTATCCTTTGAAAGGGTACATGTACTTTAAACGGTGCGTTTCGATCTGTAAAACTTCGTAGGAAACGTTGCGGCTAGTCTGCCGCTTCAAAATGCCAGAAAAGTGCAGTATGTGCTTGCACAATTTGCGCAGGCGCATGTCCATCCGGATCGGGCCAACAGATTGCAACGGACCAGCGAAGTTCTGCTGTCTGGTTAACAATGGAGTCGACTCACCAATGAAATTATCCAACAAATTAACCATTCATTACATCTCAGTCTCTTGGCACAACCGCCCCGGAGGACTGCTGCGTTTGTCTTTATGGTGGGAGCAGTAAGCTGGAGGAAGGAACACTAGCTACCAAAGGCATGAACAGAGACTCTGGTGCTTATATTTTTAGTTGGTTGTGCAACGGTCCTCTACACTATCGTCCTCGTATCCGCATTCGTATTAGGTAATCGATGTAGCATACCACTAAGCCCAGGGCTGTGCAAACTGGCCACCAACAGTGCAAAGCCATGAAAGGACCTTTGACACGTCTAGGTTTCTGACCAACGGTGCAACATATTTGCCAGGTGACTGAATCGTTCTGGTAAACAAGTTAAAGACAATACACCACTGTTCACCAATGAGAATACAAATGAGCGAGCCACACCAGTCTCATGGTTTCGGCTGTCACAGTCGCACCGTGGATAACGCCACCAATGGAAACGATTCTCCAACAGATTGAGCTGTTGTTATCAAAAAATCCGTGTCGATTAGGGGGGTAACGTGGTGCGAACAAGCCTGCACTTTAAAATAAATGGAGCAACCTTACGAACTTTGGCAACATGGGCGAAACTGAGAGAACCTGTCAATCATCGCCATCAATGAGGCGCTAGTTAACACTCTATGGAGCTAACTTTCCCATAAATTCTGGATTCACACCGACCTTATCGCTAACTGTATAGTTGCCCTTTCAGTGGATAACTATTTTCACTGAAACCACTAGACTAGTAGTGGAATTGTGTCTGCAGAGCTACTATACAGCTCTGAGCAGTGCGCTTTGGTGTGTTCTGTCAAATTCGCGCTATTGAGCGGTAAATTAACATCACATGTTTCATGCAACCCGGGCGAAATTGATGTTGGTCACTTGTGGACAGACTCGAAAGAAACCATAAATTGTAACGTCTAGAAGGACGCCTACACCCACTTTCTTAATAATGGCCCGTTCCAGTCAAAATGAAGTCAGAAGCCTTCCCTGAGTAGACAGAACTTCACATGAAAATCATTCTTCATAGCAGAAAATGCATAGAAAACATACAAATGCTGAACACATTGCAAGAAGCGAAAGATTTTCACGCAAAATAGGCTTCGCTCCTTTGTCTTCTATTGAACGTAATCACGAATACCCCCGGACTGGAAAGAAATCCACGGAAGAATAAAGTGAGAGTAGTTTATGAAACCAGAGGCGAACGAACCCATCATCTTGAATCCATCCTAAACGTCGCAACTCTAAACTATGGGCACACGGTCTGTGTGCTCAGTTGTTAAGACGCGAGTCTATCGACCGTAAGGTCTGGAGTGTTCCTGTCTAGACTTGGATAACCTGGCAGTATTCCGGCCTTCGTGACACCATCGGGTGGCGTGATAGCTATGCACCGAGAGTGTTACAGCTGAGCAGTTGTTTGAAAAAATTTTAGTTGGCCTATAAACCAGTTGGCGTGCATACACACAGAATTGAATGCGGGAGTCTCTTGGGAAGGGGACATGCAACATCGTCTGAACCAATGTTTATCCATCTGTTGTGCGCGATTTCGTTCGTTGGTGTGCTAGTTATAATGAAAATAAGTCGATGAGAACCATGCTACTTTGAGCCGTCTTCCCAGCGGGACAGTTACCTGTCGACACAAGCCCAACCTGACGCAATTGAAATAAAAGGAAATGCCGGTAACATAGTGTTATGTCTGACTGCTGTCCCCGCTTCAGTGACTAGTGCCGGAAAAAGATTCGGCAACAAAGAACACAGCAGCTTTATTGCAATCAAGCGAGTGCGCACAAGTACAGCTGTCTCGTGCTGTATTTTTAAGGGCACTGTTCGACCTTGATCCGACGCTGTTGCCGCTATAACCTGATCTCGACCCGAGGCTGTCTGATCGACCTTTAGTAGAGTTTGAGGGCCTCAGTAGGTTTCAGATAAATGGTGTTATAATCTTATAACAAATTTGTATATGTCAGAATGCCCATAACGTTGCAGTGTTCAGTTCTATGTATAAATTCTACGAAACGCTTGAATTGCTTCAAGGAACCACCTTGTCTGGTCACAGGCATGAAGCAGGTGGTCGTTTGGGATAAGAGAAAGAGTTTGATTTGAGGGCCAGGTTTCAGATAAATGGTGTTATAATCTTATAACAAATTTGTATATGTCAGAATGCCCATAACGTTGCAGTGTTCAGTTCTATGTATAAATTCTACGAAACGCTTGAATTGCTTCAAGGAACCACCTTGTCTGGTCACAGGCATGAAGCAGGTGGTCGTTTGGGATAAGAGAAGACTGACTTTGGTGTTAAAAGTTCTCGAATGATGTTACAGATCTGGCATATAAACTCAGTTGGAAAGTGAATTCATTTTACGCTCTGCAAGGATCCCTATATTACCGCATCCAGTTTGTACGTATTGTCTGCTAAAGTGATTTGGTTGAACAGATATCGGTGAGACGAACAACAAATAGCTGGTACCGAACTTTGGACCGTGATTCACTACCTGACAGCCGTGTCAATATATTTGGATGGAACCTTATAACCGAAAGGACTGGATAGGGAGTGGAAACTAGCGCTGGCCTACCACAAAATTCGAAATATTCACATACAACACTCAGGCAATTCTGGTAGAAACTAACATAGGTTAGATGCCACGTCGTCCAGTGTCTCCAACCAGGTAGAGGGAGGATCAAGTGAGTCCTATTCTTGATAGCGAACAGCGCTCAAACCTTTTCTACTACCCGCTACCCCCTTCTGCCATGTTATATCGTGCCCATCCAGTGTTTTACTCCATTCCGAATAAGGCACAGAAAACAATTTTTCGGCAACTTAGACTTCAGGGTTGAATGCATCTGTTGCGTGAAGTGCCAGCCCATTCATCAAAAACCTGTTTCCCGATCACATTGTGAATCCACTAATTCCAAATTCCAGCAACAGTTCTGAGACCTCGGAGGTGAATGACCCGAAGGTGTCTCAGATAGACCGCTCAGAGTGACCACATCTCACAGCAGAACATTTTGAGGGTATCGAACAGGATCGCATTCTTCCATTCTTTTCGTGCTCGAAAGGATTATGAGTGAATTGCTCGAATTGTCAATCGCCTCGAAAGTTGAGCCAATCCCAAGGGCAAACCTCACACACATACTGTTTCATTCGGGTTCTAGCAAAATATGAAATACAGTGTTCAAATGACCCTTGGCTTCAGGATGTGCTTCCAGTTGGAAATTGGGTTCCAGCCCACAGCTACTCGAACATATGCTTCTGGGTATCTGCTCGCAGTGCTAAGATAGTCAGACCTCAGCCAGATACACATTTCCGTACCAACTGTGTATTGACGGGAGACTCATCTGGAACATAGCTGAATCTCTCGTATACGATGAGTAGTGCATTACGTTTAATTGGATATCGTTTTTGGTTTTTCCTCACATCGTTCACTGACACACTGAATGGGGAGTGCACAATGCCTAAGTGCAACCACTGCCGTTGTACGAATGTGAAACGTGGCTATATCATGTGAAACATAGGTGACTCCTCGTTTTTTACCACTAATTTCTACGCAGTATTACAAACGTATTGCTGGATGACCGCATTCTGAATGCTGAAATAAGTTGGGTGGTATTTAGCGTACGCTGTACTGGACTCTCGATTGACAGGTTGACATGGCCCCACCAGCAGCGCTGGCTCGATCAGAAGAGCACTACATTAAGAGGGTCTCACTTCCCGTATCAGAAACAAAGTGGAGGGAAGCAACAATTGAGCAAGTTGGTGTATGCGGTTTACTAGTGTGGAGGTCCAAAGCTCTAACTAACCAATGATTGGAGACTACCACAAAACCAGTGACGCTTTTTTTATTCATTCAATAACCGCCAATTCTGAACTTTGTTATTCCATTCTTGTCTTCAATGCTTCAACCTTCCTAATCAGCGGCCGGAGAATGCAGTGACCACAACCACTGTACTCATGTATTCGGTTGAAAAACAGAAGAACGGAACAGAACGACCCAGGGTGGCGTTTTCTATCGGCAATATTTTCCAGACCTATAGGAGCCGAAAGTCACAACTTAAATGTTCAAAGACATTAATGCTAGAACGTATAAAAACCTAGCCAACTTGTCGATTTTCCCACCTAAACATCGGCCAGTATTCAACGATATTTCGTTGAAGCTGTGCAATGTGAGTCCGAAAAAAAAACACTCACAGTGATCTGATAAATTCCCGAACCAAACGGACGTCCTGGATGCTTTAACAACTTGCACTGGCGATATACATCGGAAGACCTGGTGAGAAATATCCGTACAGCACATATATGTCCCCAGCTCTCACCCAAAGCCGGGACCAGCCGTCCGGTGGACGAAGTGTCGTTCGATCCCGGTGGATTCTCGTCCAACTTGACCCGTGTTTCGATACGCGTCGTGATCTGGTTTGTGAGGATCACCTACGAAAGAAAGTACAGCAAAAAAGCAAATTAAAAGCCACGAGCGACCACAGCGGATTCTCACATATTGAGTATACACTACTTATATTCTGTTCAGTATGTCATTCCGTTTGATCAGTTATGAAATCTAAGTCCACGTGCTCACACGAAACGATAATGAAAAGGAGTCCGAGGCGTACATTTACAGCCTACTGAACCTAGCATCAGTTACACCAGTCTCGCTGGAACATGCAACATTGCTTTCCATTCGATCCAAAAAAGACTTGTGTAGGCCACGGGAACGGATAACTTTGCTGGTTCTGCCCCGTATTCACGATAATAGTCACGAGACCCGTGATGATAACCTGTAAGCAGTCGCATTATATCTTGACTGCTATTATTCTTAATGGCAGTAGACCACGAGGAAAGGGTATTTTGGTGTAATGGGCTTCCTTCAATGCAACTTCATACGAAATCACTTCTCACAGAGAACAACTTCGTGGCGTCGATCTTTAAAGATCTTTTTAAGAGAATCGTTGCCTTTGGTGGTTGTATAGTCCGAACATGAGAAAAGGTAAGTAGTCGCCCGGACTTGATGACAATTGCAACGCCAACTAATGATCCAAGTTAGGGACGACCACAGTCGTTGCAGTTTTATCATTCAATACAGCAATGTAGAAAGAGAAAGACCAGTCCTCTTGACTGGCCAGCAACTGAGATTCCCTTTGGGACCATTTCAAAAGGCAAAAACCTTTTTTGGCACACGATTCGTAGGAATAATGATCTTTTTCAATCGAAGAATGAGGACAGCAAACATTCCACTAAGGTGGGTAGCTTAGACGCTAGACCAACTAGATGGGAATTTTTCTGAGCAGAATCTGAGAGCCGTCGCATCCAGTCAAGATATTGTGAACTAAAAACTAAATATAATGAACTAAATATAGTGCCCACTCGAAAAACTCTCCCAACATAAGTAGCTCTGCTGAAAAGCCTGCAACAAGAGCTGGTTGGCTGGATCCACATGGTGAGCGATCATGTCGAAAAGGTTATATCCCATAGTGACCACTCTTTGGATGAAATGCTGTCCCAGTGAGAGGGCGATGTGTGAGTGCATAGCTAAGTCATCCATTCAAGCATTTTGGAGGGAAGCCGGGAATGAATTTGAACTCTAGTCCATGAGACAGTTTCACAACTGCAGCACACCGACCACTCAAGTGTCAGCCAAGTCGAAGATTTGGTGACACCACCTACCACTGGGTAAGTTCGAAATTTCGTTGACTTCGAGTTCCAGTTCCTCTGTATGTAAATACATTACTAGCAATCAATTGAGAAAGGTTTGGAACCGATTGAGAAGTCATCGTTTCAGAAAAGCTTGATGAACAATCAGTGGTTTTTATTTGGGTAACGTTCCGCTTTTGACACAAAAGCTTCATGTGGCCAAGTGAGCAGGTCACCAAATTGGCCAGGTTATAAGACAGGCGGGGAACTAATCAGTGAGTTCTCTTCAAACTATCACATTAGATCAGTGTTGAGTGTCAATAAACGGCTCTTGTAGGTTAGTGTGGTCGTCAAAATCTTGCTTTGGTGGATTTGGGGAGTTTCATATTAATTCTGATCGGGTTTGGTTCGTTATTCTTCCACGTCAGGGTGCGCCAATTGATGATTCACCCCGGTTGACACGGGAAGATTTTCCTTGGTCTTTGTGGGGTTGTGAGTGCTCCGACAATTTAGTTTGAGGGGGGTGGGGGTTGAAGCCAACTGGAATTCAGATGATGACTACTCTTTCTTCTGATGACCGCACACCAACACGTGTCAGCTCGACTGATCCAAAACCGTTCTACACACGCTTTTCAGTTCCACGCCTTCCATTCTGTTAACACTGGGATGCTTGGCGATTTCTACCGCCTCGGCGATCAGTCTGTGTGACGTGGACCATAGTCCTCGCCTCAAAACCTCAACATTTTTTAAATCTACTTTTTGTCCCGTGTCCGGTGCGTATTTCGAAACTGGCGAGTCTTTCAGTAACGCTTGATATTCGTTTGCGTTTCTCAGCGGCATATTTATTTCCCTAATACGCTCTCCGATTGTGATATGCAGTTCTCTGACTCTCTGTCCTATATAGACCTTGGTGCAGTCGTTATAATTAGTTTTGTATGTACTGTCTCTGATTCTGTTTACCGGGAGGCGATCACTCAACTGCACCAGTGCAGAGCGCAGTGTCCCCTCTCTGAAAAGCTACTCTTATGTTGGCCGTGTTTAGAATTCTTCGAATTACTTCCGATGTCCCGGGTTTGTGTGGAATAACAGCGGTCCCGATCCATTCCTTGTTGGGTTTCGCTACCGGTACCGACACCCTTCGCTATTGACACCTACTCAAGATAGCTGGATATCCACCACCCCGAAGTTCGTTCTTTACTTCAATTCGGGCCGCTGTCCGATCAGCTTCTTCTGTGTGCACAGGGCCCTCAAACGCCTAAACATTGATGGGGCAATACCGGCGATTTCGAATGGGCAGACGAGCAGTTTAAAACTGCCCCAGTGTCCTTTGGCTTCTCGTATACGGTGGTCCTCAGTTTTTCCCCGATCTTATGTGTCAAAAGCGAAACGTTGTTCAAATAGAATTATTACTAACAAACTGGAATTCTTACCTATCAGGCAGCGGTTTGTGAGAATAAGGCAATTAGTGGCAGTAAGGATGTATTGCCTATGTATGGCACTCCAGGTAGCCAATGAATACAAAAAGATTAACTGGTAAACGGAGACTTACGACTGCTTTGTAGTTGGTTGCCACAGACAGCAGCTGCTGTGCTACAGAAGCAAGCAAACGATTTCTTTGAGGAATATCGTCAAAATCGTACCGAAAGGGCAGCGCAATACTATCCACAACAATGAGCCTCACCTGGGTACGGAAACGGAGGAGAAAGAAGGATTGAGTCTATTTCGACTGAATGTAATAATTTATTGGGTGGTTTAAAGAGAGACAGTAATAAGCAATGAGAGAAAATTCTATCAAAGTATAACCCATCAACAACAATCTGATGAATGCACACTATCCGAGGTTCATTTCAAGAGAACATTAGATGTTTCCTTTCGTCATGCTGACCTCTATTAGCATGGCTCCAACACAGACAAAACAGTTAGAATTAAATCGGAAGCAGTTCACATAATTCAGGACATCAGGGCCAGGGGTCTTGACGGGTAGCCTGGAAAATTTCAATGAGAAAATCTAAGATTTGTTCCGGATACTCTAAAAACCCTATAGACATTTTAAAGAGACGTTGGGGAGCGCTAAAACATACACTGCGATATTAGCGAAGTACACTCATTTGCAAACTAATTTGGTTTTTCGAGAGACTCACCTGGAACCCAGCTGCGATAGTCTATCCCGGAAAACTTAAGCCCGATCTGATGAGGTTACTGTAGCCCATATAAGTAGTTGGGATTCTAGGGAATTTCGCACGAAATGGCTGAATAAACTTTTTAGACACTAGCAATAGGTTCACTGAGTTATAAGACCTTTCCTCAGAAGATGGCTACTCTTCAAACGGTTACAGTAGGTTTACGAAACTGATTCGTCAACGTCACACCCAGTACTGTCACTCTCGAGAAAGTAAGGGTGACCTTATAAAAGATGCCACAAAACCAGATGATTAGCCGTCGGTTGGTTTTTATTCTTTAGGGCAATTAATTCAGGTATCTGAATTCTTACACTTTCTTACACTACATTCCTCGTGTGAAGATTAAAACTCGGGGACATCGGTGGTGTTTGTCTGAAACTGGCTTTGGTCTGGAAGAAATATCTCCCTACCAAATAAGCTAGCTAGCTTAGTGTTTAAGTCGCAAACTTACAGACAGGAGGATCCGCGGTTCGAACCCGAACTCTGCGTCCCGAGGGTCCTTATCTAAGCTTGCAAGAAGTGGCGTTATCTGAGCGCTCGCACTTCCTTCGGGTGGCATGGCAGCTAGGCATCGAAAAGGGGTTGCAGCCGAGCGGTTTTTATGAATTCGCCTAGCCTTATTTCATGCGCTACTGTGGCAATAAGGGTTCAGCTGCTCAGTTTGCGCTCATCGTGTAATTAATTTGGTTCCTCTGAAGGGATTCACGAATCACTAAGCTTCGAAAAATCCACTTATTCCGGAATTTCGCCGGAAAAGAAACGATGGATTGTAATGTTCCCAATATCTGGATCTATCAGCGGTATATTACACAGCAGAGAGAAATGTCATAAACCCCTGCGTAGTGATCATTCCATCTTGGTTAGAAAACAGTAAACGAACCGCAAAGCATGATTGTTCTCCTGTTCATACTGTGGCTCACTGGGTTTCCACGAAGTATTTCATACGTTCGATACCCGCGTTCTATTAGTCATCTAGTAAGTTGAAACAGTGTTAAGCGACCCCTATTCCTCATTCAACCGAGTAAAACACATCTTACCTTCTAGGAAAACAGAAACTTGGTTGTCCGACAAGTGGAATTCTACGGACGACATGTACTGTATCCTCCAGATCCATGCGAATGAGGAATTGAAGTAGGGAAGCATTTTCATCCTCCAAAGCAAAGCCAGTTCAGAGCAGTTCTTAATGCAAGTAATCAAAGTAACAAAATAACACGAACTTAGAGCTACTCAAATTTTATCCTCTTACATCATCCGGCCTCACCTTAACGACAGCCAAACGAATGTCAAACGGTAATCATGGCTACCCGATCTCACGTACGAATAGCCATGTGTCTACGTCTGTTAATAGATACACAAAAGGCGCGCCCAACCGCTGAGTCTCAGCTGTTTACAGAAACCGTACTTTGGAAATCCTCGTTCTCTGCATCGTTTCATAGTTTTTTTAGGTACAGCTCTGATGGAAAATCGGAGCAGTCTAACAAGTACTTTCCAATTCCCCGCCCCTCTAGCTGAATTAAACCAGATCCGGCTCAACTGTAATTGTGTAGTTTACAGAGGATTAGTCCTAACAAAACACAATACAAAGACAACAAAAACGATTGTTCTAGTTTGCGTATTTGCTGCAAACACGAATATGAACTGCCTCTCGAGACAGACCAAAAGATTATTTCGATATGCCCATGTACAGCGGAGAGTGTAGAAGTGGAACTACAATCCACATCTCATGCAAACATGTGTATGCAACTCATGTACAAGCGATATCAAGGGTAGCACCGCCCGTTCACTCCGAAAATGCAGCCCATACAATGAACAGGCACTGAGTGCTCTTGAACTAGGGGAACCAGGGGATATGATTGTGCGCGTAGAATAGATATCGGCAGAGAGAAATGTGATCACTGAAACATGTTATTCAATGCTTATTTGTTTTGTTTTCCCAGAATGGTGTCTAAGCTGTCTGTGTTTGGAGTGAGCTCTACAAGCGGTTTCAATGAGAAAAAATAGGTTTACAATGTTACTGGCGCTACCCGACTGAGAAGTACTGACGGGCACAACCAGGGCAGTTACTGGGTCATCATTTGGAACTTTGGACAAGCCGATTGCCTTGTTTGTGTTTGAGAAAGTTTGGCTACCCGGGCCTGACAATTCAAGTGCGTACAAGGTGGGCTGGTGGAGTAGTTTTACGACTCTCATCTCATATTCCAAGTGTCCGGAGTTCAATTCCGGCACAGCCAAGGATGGAAAGTGTTGATCGGCTCTAATGAGAGAGATAATCGAGTCCATTGCTCCCTGATAACAGTGTGAACTACCAGAAGGGTTGTATTGGGACAGCCGTAGGACCGTACAAACGAGAGCAGTGTGGATGCGAACGGTACGAATCCGGCGACCCATAGCCAACCCGCACGAGACAACCGGGCATTGCTTCGTCGGGAAGACTGCCTAGATTGGTCCAGCAAATGGAACCTGTCCGAGGAAAGGTCGCCTACCTGGGCAGTTCATAACAAACCATATCAGTTGACCTAGAATGGCAATGCCTCCGATGTACGACATCTTTCTCAAAATTTCTCGTTACACAATCAAGCGAGACTGTTTTGCACCGATGCAAAGACAGATTTAGTATTTTTCTCGGGTGACCGGAGGCTTACTTTAGGATGTTGTTCGCAAAACTGATGAAGTCGTTTACATGTGGCCAAGAGTTGTAAATGATCAGTCACACGAATGTAATGAATTCCGGACAGTAAGCCATCCACGTTGGGGCAATAATGATTACGGAATTCCTCCGTTACTGGTTCGTCATCCCCTGTAGGGAAGGTGATATGTAGAAGTGAAATGAAGAGAAGAGAAAATCATCAGGATTGTGATTTGGATAAAATACTTCGACGATGGATTGCACTGAACTCTAAGTCTTATGTGGCGATCATCAGATAAACAGAACACCACTACGTTTGTGTTGGTATTGGAACAAAAAGCACGATAGATGACTAAATAGGATGAGATTCAGAGTGGACTCTACATTATGCACGGACCCCTGACTGGTAGTAAGTGGTGGAATGCAATGCAGTATGGTAATTAACGTGAAAGCCGTTACTCGGAGACTATACTGAAAAACTGAGTATCATCGACAGACCTGGGGGAGGCCGAAACAAGTGTGTTGAGTCGTGTCTAAACCACACCATTTATGATTTTTCACGCGGTAGCAGGCGTCATTGGCAATATATCTGAATAATGGACGCTCGGGTGAGTTTAGTATCTGATCTGCTGNAGTTTAGTATCTGCTGAACCGATAGCAATGGATCTGTTGACTGAGCTTGTCAGTTGGTTTGTAAGCGTTTGGGTTCCAAATGAAGAAACAGTCGAGCGGGTTAGCTCAACTTTATGTACTTCACTTTGCAGCCAAGTGTTTTCCCATACCCCAGCGACCAAGAACAGGCGAATCATTCTTCAATAGTAATCTTCCCTGGACAAGTCCACGCATCTGGAAAAAGTTATGAAGGCATTCACCCGTCATAAATGCGACAGTAGCGGCAATCTCGTGGAATACGGTGAACGGGCGGAACCCCTCAGTGGATGATTAACACACTTCCAATGGTAATAACAACCTCAAAAGAGGGAGCGATAAGACTTGCGTTCCAACAAACGGTTGCACCATCAACCACTTTTGAGATTATCTCAGCTAGTGAGGAAACATAGTGACCAGATAGCCAAATACAATTAGAAGTTCAAATAGAGAATGAACCAACCATCAAGCTTCACATGTCGTCGACAATGGGCAACCAGGGATTCGGCCATCTGTTTTGCTCTTCGGGGTACGAAATTTCCTTCGGAATCGATAAAGACAGCCTCTCCTTCCAGGCCACCAAACCACCGAGGTAGTTGTACTGTAAGACAGGTTTGAATACTGAAAAAACGGACAAATATAATGCAAGGTGCCACACCATGAGGGAATCGCCAAACGGCAACAAACTGGAGAACTCAACCAGTAAAAAAAACAGCCCACCATTTACAGCTTTAATTCACAGTATGAACGGGTGAATTTTCTGATATCTCATGAGTTTCATCGACCTGCATTATGCGTACTAGATGTCTCACCGAAACTGATCACCAAACTATATCCGTTGGACGGATGAGAGAACCTTCCAGACATCCATAACATGTCAGAAAATGCCTTGTGCTCAAAGAGGAATGCAGTAGAGCATTTGCTCCAAAAAATCAATGTAACGAGAGCTAGATTGCTATATACCAAGTGGTGAAAAAGTTGGAGGAAAGACTTCCTCAACGCAACCAAATTTTAGCTCCCATGATCTGAAGCACACTTGCATGGAAAAAGTCCTATCGGCCAAGTCACAAAGGCAGCTTGCCGCAATTATTCCTCAGGAAAAACGCATCTTATGCGGAGCCACAAAGACGACTGAAACTCGGAAGTGTGAGAATATAGGTAGGCTTACATGCAAGGAGAAAGTGGAGTAGTATACTATGAATTCGGTAGGGCGTCCAGTTTTTTTGCACCCTCAAAACATAAGCAAGTCATTCGTGCCACACAAATGATGCAATTTCCGAAGTGGGAAAGATGTATTCTGACTGACGGCCGCATCAATGGAGGTGCATTTCCCAAGATGGTCCCTAAACAGGCGAAGTAGTGCATACGGCATACGTTATAAAACAGTATGAACGATGTAAGAATAGACGTATAGAGCTAGGTACTGACTGCTCAAAACGGAAGCGAGTAGTTATGTACTCCGAGATTAAAAATATTCTTGATACATTGTGACATATCAGTGATAGAAAATGTGGACATATTGTATACACAGTAGTACAACTGCAGGGCTACCCTGCAATTTTTTTCATTAGTTCGCGTTCCCGACGCATTTCCGCCAGATCTCTGGTTCTGCAGTAGTACACAAAATAAAGTATTGGGTAGCATTTAGAAACACTAAATTTTTCTTTCAATGGTTGAAAAGCAGGGAGTCTCTTTGTTACACAACACGTGAGCAGCATTCGTCAGAGTAATTTAACCGAACGAAGTTTGTTGAAAGGGGGCGTTATCAGCTACGGCGGTGTGGGTATGAGCATGAAATAATCGTTGGTTGATCAAGTCGCACGTACCTTCCTACAAGTGTAGCTCACATGCTTCTCTGTCCTGATCCGTAGGATGCAACTAAGTCCAACTGGTACTTTAAAAAGACCTATGGATTGTGCCGTGACCACTACAACGGGTTGCAGATGTACACTGATCAGGAAAATATCCGCGCGTAGTTCCATCGCATCAAACCCTCAGAGCAGACCGTCCGAACTGGAAACTGCGACTGGAATTTAATTGGCTACTGAAGAGGGTGGCATTCTGTAACAATTTGGCCGCTTTGGACAGTGCGCTAATATAGAATAGAACGTACATTTATGAAAACAACTGGTCAAAGATCACAAAACAGACGCTGAGTTCTACATTGTGAAATATAAATAGCAAAGCATAGTTCCAAAGTCACGAATCAACCGAGATTTTAAGTGGAATTTGATGCGGAAGGATGCAAGTAACTGCTGGTTGTCTTAGAAAGCAACAGTACTGCCGAAAAACAGATTATCATCTTTTTGGGTGTCTTGTGACCTTCGCTGAGTTGTCTCCCGAGCAAAAGAATATCTTAGGTAAACCGGCTGATGCGATAACGGGGTTAGTAGTAGACCGTCTCGCCTTGCAGGTTGCAAACATACAATTCATTTATCCTGATAGCTGGTAACAAACTTATGGTGATATAAATCTGTTAAACAATGAGGAAGAAGCATTTCTCCCTCAGAATGAAAGGAACTGCGAAGTGTATGTATGGCCCAGCAAACGAGTGTGAAATAGATTCCGAAAAGTTCAGGCGCTGTTGATGCGGCTAGGAGCGGGCCGCATGACACTTCTTGTGTTCGGTTGAAGACGCGGCGTTAGTATCGTCCTTTCCTGTCCAAATCGCTCGGAGTAAGCTCCAAGAAGTCGGCGATTAGGATTGATAATCAGACGCAAAAGGACGGCATCAAGTTCTTCGAAACAAACACTCGCTCTCGCCCCAAGCGAGGTCATACCCAATCTGGCGAAAACATATGGACGGATGCATCGGCGCAATTGGCATCAAGGATGGAATACCTATCGAATCAGCAAAGCTCGAGTAACATTTATCAACCTGCAACACCTTGAACGACACCGAAACATCGGCTGAGCTATTCGAGAGCTTGTATACAACTCTCCTGTACGCGCTGTCCTGCCTTATGGTTGTGAAATGCACGTAGAAGACAATAATCGGTCGATCGTTCCCGATCACTGCTGTTTGGAAAACACCATCTTCATTTCTTAGGAATAAGTTCGTTATCGATTGGTGGTGGATGACGTTATTGACATGGTGAAGCGACACCACTGGACGCTTGCGTGTGTTTATGGTAGCACAAGCGGCAAATGCGGGGCCAAATGCACTATGTACCTGTGAATCCGGTGTAAATCCGAAGGATCAGGACTGACAGACAGTTTTCAAGGCCTGTTGGTAACCATCAGCTGACCTAAACGTGATGTGTATATATGTATAAATACACAATGACAGGTTATTACTCACAGCTGGAATCTGTTGCACAAGGTGATCTCCCAAAAATATGGTGTTAAACACATACCACATAGAGATGACCTACCAAAATTGCGTTTTCCCAACGCCAGGCTCACCACATAATTCTGTCAGTCTTCCAGTCGGGAAGCCACCGCCGAGCATTTCATCAAAGCTGGCGTACAAAAAGAAAGGTGAGGGTCAAGAAAACAATTAGTTTAGGTAGGATATGACTTCCCGGAGCGATTAACTTGGAGAAACATGAAGGATGAAACTCTGCAACAGCAGTTAACAACGATAGAGTGGAGATCCACATCTAAGAGGCTGTCCTTCATAAGGGACTTAGACCTCCTCACAAAGCGCATATGCAGGAATCTCTAGCACACGTTCTAAGTGGGTCAACATGGGTCCTGGTCAACTGTGACTACGATCACATCAACCATTCGGAGCGTAAATTGCTAAACCATGCAGTGGTCTGCGTAAAAGGATGATACCTACAAACCCAGTTAACGCATTGCTACAACTGCTGTGCTCACGCATCCAGTCGATGCAGGCTAAGTGATTAATTCTGGAGCTGCAGTTGGATTCGACTACAAAATATCAATCAATCCACCGAAGGCAACTCAGGTTCACTGTCTAGACAAGCCTAATCTGTTCGTGCGTATAACCCATACTAGGTGCTAAGGGACATTTCGTTCGCGCTCTTAGCTTGCAGTGGCCTTTATCTTAAGCGAGCACCCGCCTCGAAGACCGGCCCGTAAAGTCCTAGCTTTCTGATATGATTAGCGCGTCTTTTGCCTTTATCTTGATTGCCTGTATAAATGGTGGCCTTGCCATGCAGTGTTTGAATTACCTAGATGCTTTGAGAGCTGACGAGAAGATAGAGAGGAAACATCAAAACCGAGAGATTCAGCTGGGTTCCAGGTGAGTACCTCGAAAAACCAAATTAGTTTGCAAATGACTGTACTTCGCTAATTCCATGCAGTTTGGTTTCAAGTGGAACATAAGGTTGACGGGAACTCGGGGATTGCGCCTACCTGACGATCCCCAAGAAGGGCGAAACGGGTCGTGGGCTGCGAGGAGTTTTCAGCAACCTTATGAGTAGTGCATTACGAAAATATATATGTATCGCGACATCTCGAATATCGTAGCGACTGAAACATGAGGCGGCCTGGTGCAGCACATTCAGTTGGCTGGAAACATCAAAACCGAGAGATTCAGCTGGGTTCCAGGTGAGTACCTCGAAAAACCATGAAGAGGACTTGTGTTCCCACTACTTGTGTTTAGTATTGGAAAAAAATGTACCTGAGGCACATGCTCACGATAACATCTGGGATCGCTGTGGTGCCTTGAGGAGAAGCGAATGCGTTTAGTAATTCGTATGCTGTTGGAATATCACGAAGAAATGATGGGATGCCGGGCTCTTGGAAATTCGTCAGGTCCTGATACCGATGAATCACATGAAGTGCATCTCTAGCAGCGTCCAGATCAATACCGCATGCTAAAATAGGGAGTGTGGTTAACAAAAATCACAGGACTTTACGGGACATTCAGAATAACAAAATCTGATGCGAGCATTTGTGTATCTCAGTGACCGAAAAAGGTTATATACGGAGGTGAGACCAATATCTATTGGCTAAACCCGGCTAGGAAGAAAAGCCGGTGGCTTGCTGTGTGGAGTGGGAACCCATTACAATCAACTCACGTGGATCGAAAAAAAGTTGTAAGGCATTCATTTGTAACCAGCATTCGTCCAGACCAAAAATGTTACCTTGAAAACTTATCAAGTGGCTATATTATTTTCTCCAGAAGAGTAAGTGGTGTGCGCTTTCAGCAGTTTTAATCATTTTACTGGATGATCGGAATGTTGTGTGGGCTGTGTCAGCCCCATGCACCTAGCATTAATTGAGTTCCTTCTAAACTCAACTCAACCGTATTTGACCAAGAGTTACCGATTGTCATTATTAAGAAGCTACTACAAACCGTCCCGGTTTGTGCCTGAGGAACTTTCAGTGGAAATCTAACAGTGAATGACTGCCTCGGATGTCAACGAAGTCATGTACCAAGCTTTTGTTCAGTAAAGGTGAGTGAAAATTCCACGAAACGTAAAGCCTGCAAAAAGGTTTCTCCCCTGACCACATAGAACCATACAGGAACGAATTCAACGTAAGTACTGCGAACAAAATATAGTGATCCTTCATCAATAGTAAACCTTCAGACGCAGAAGACATTCAAAAGGATAATGGGATTCTTCAATCCTATTTTGATGTGTTTCGACAAACGACGAACAGAAGAATATGCTCCACGAAGTGTCCGTTTTCCTTGGGGATATGATAACAAGTGCATGAAGCTATACAGGTTAACATTCATTTGCAAAGTGAGAACCCGTTAATGTGAGACTAAATCAAACATCTATGTATGGTATTCTCTGGCACAGAGGCAACCTAATGGCTTAATTAGACCGATTTTAAAGATAACGAAGTGTCTTTCCTGGAAAAGTTTCCGTTAATCTCGAAATTATCGTATCAAGGAGTTTACATACTGCTTTCAGAGAACAGTTTTGTCAACAAGAAAGAAAAACAAACGTAAACGCATATGGAACCTGCAACACCAGGGAACAAATAGGAGGGAAAGGGCAAACATGGAAGCCATAGATGAAAGTGAGAACCTGATCTTGCAGATATGTTGCTAACATGAAACGATGGTGGAAACATACGTTTGAGGCCATATGGGTGTTGAATTATTAGATGGGAACGAAGGTACATTTAGGCCGCTGGCGCTTAGCTCCCACAGATCGTATACGTTGAAATGGATAGACACTTACCTACTCACGAGTAGCTTAAAACCTTTGTGTAAAATATTTCAAACGGTGGATAGCTGGCTGTCTTCGCTCGCGAGGTATTGATATGATACGACCACCTGGCATTTGCGTTTTAAAAACGGTTTGACGTGGTGAAGCTCCTTCAGGTACGTCTCAGTCCTAAAAATGTTGAGTTACCTAAGCTGATTTTGTTTGAAGTCACCGTTTGAATGTGCTCTCAAATTTCCTGTGAACACCAGTAGTACGTGACCTATGCGAGCTTTTAGGGAAGAGTATGAGAAAATCGGATGATGTTCTGCGCGCCAACTCTTGCTTGCAATCCAACACCTTTCAATCAATCAATTCAATTTCGCAGATATAAAATGTACCGAGAGTACATTTGTTCCGGTTGCTACAGCTTCAAACATTGGAAAGTTGGAGGGAGAAATGCAGTCAATCATTGGAGGCGATAGAATGTTTAATTAGTTCAAGAGCTGAGTAGCCACGCACTGAGGGCGACAGCTTTGATGCATGAGCGACAAGGACTTCGCGATTGGGCTATTTCCGACAGTGCCATTAACCATTGGGGAGTTGAGTCCCTGAGTCCCCAGCCAGAGAGGCGGCAGTTGCTGACCCGACAAAGCTTACTGGTTGCTTTTTCCATACATTGTTGCCAGATCATACGCTGTCAACCTCCCGATTACTTCCACTCATCATAGGGCTGGACAAAAAGAGCTCTGCGAGGCAGAGTATTCGGACATGCTGATTACATGTCCAAATCTGCGTAACTTATGTATCGTGAGTAATTCAACTATCGGGAGAGAACTTCTTTCACCTAAAACCATCTGGCGTACCTCAGCATTTCTAACCCGATCTTCCCACCAGATCCGACCGATTCTTCGGATACACCGACGGTCACACACTGGCAATTTTCGTATGTCCACTGCGTGTAGAGACCAAGTTTCTGATCCATAAAACAGTACGAATCACACTGGCGCAGTGTAAACTGTCACTGACAGATAAACTGACGTCACATCAGGGTCACAGGTGTCGGAGGTTTGCAAAAGCTGCCCTGGCCTTCCCAATTTGAGAAGTAATCTTATCTTCATGAAGTCTACACGAACTGATCCACGTGCCCCGGTAAACCAATTTACCTACCACGCCGCTGACACCGATCTTCTTTTAGCCGGTTGATCGAATGATCTTAACTAGGGCCCATCTGTTGGCTGCAGTGGAAGCCTACTCCACCTCCTTGATGTTCGAAATCTACCTGCACTCTGTTATTATTCAAACTCTTGATTATCCGGTGCTTGAGGGATCCGCGTATGCCATCACAGACACTAGTTGTTGGTATGGCATTTCTGGCAGTCATAAAACCTGTTGATCTCGACGATATCCAGTGTTCATTAGGTTGAGTCGGATAGCTTGGACAGAGTTCTCAAAACTGGCAGCATGGTTTCTTTAACTCGCCTCCATTCAACCTCCGCAGCATTGTTTTTTTCCATGAATCGCGTGGAAAGTCTCAAGAGAGAAAGACCTTGCAGACTTCATACTCCTATCGCAGAGAACAGTATGACTTTACCCCCAGATCGCCTCTTAATACTAACTCTCGCAATACAGGGGCTCGTTGTTCTTCCTCGAGTCGATCACTGTTGGGCTTGTTGGTAAGGAACTGAGTTCCAGTTAGCGTAGCCCACGTGATCATTGCACCAACGAAGCCCGACTACCAGGACAAGGTGATAGCTTTAGGTCGAACAACATTGGTTATTCGACATTTCACATAGCTGCGGTGCCGCGATGGTCTCGTCTACTGGTTGCACAAGGGACTTTGAACGTTTAACCCCTCAAACCAATGCATTGTATACCAGAGTGAGTGATCGAATGCCTGCATGAGCCGAAAACTGTGCCACTAAGGGAGAGGAAGGACTACGCTCGACGAATAGTGTAGGAATCCATTGTTTTCCGAAACTGATACGCTTAATCACTTTCTTCTAGTGAGTCCGTTTTAGCCAAAATGACCATGGCACGTTAGCAATGTCCAGGCGGTTCGAATCGGTCACACATGGTGTACGCATTCAATTCGCCTTATTGGAGTATGGTACTCCATTTTTACTATCCATATGGTTGGTGGAGAATGGTAAGGACCCATTTCAACTAGCGCAAAAACAGCACCGCGTAATCGTCATTCGAGCCAGCACAACAATGCGGATATCGATTTCCAAACCAATCCAAGGGAAAACAAAGCATTGGTACAGTAGAGCTCACATACATTACACTAGTCAACAAAAGAATGGGCAAAAGTGGAACTTGATGCTGGTGAACAAAATATTCGCCGCTGGATTACATAGAACGATGAACCAGTTTGAGTCTTTGGCGAACGGATAATACGTCACTTAGAGTTCAGTGGACTACGGTGAAATGACAGAGTTTTATTGCTCGTTTAGGTCTCAGGGACCCGACTCTTTCGTTAGTGTGAAACTGACGGACTAATCTAAAATACCATTTCACACAACCCTAACAACTTTCGTGGGCAAACTGAGTTAGACGAATGTAGCTGAGGACATGGACCAGAAACTCGATTTAGGGAGGCAAAACGTAGCAGGCATAGGGATACAAGTGACCGTCGCATATAAGTGGCCATTCTAGTCCATTCAAGCTACTATATATTTCAACACTGAGGAACACCAATCACCCTAAAAAGAGACACTAGTATCTAGGAAAAAATTTTCGCAGCAAAGAAGTTGCTCCAGTAAATTGTTTTTCCGTTAGGGAAAAAATCCCGAAAAAAAAGCAGGAGGCACTTTCTAATTATCCCACGAGTAGACTTGCTCCAAAAGGGGAAATATCGCAGCGGAATAACTTATAACCAAATCGATTTACAAATGAGTGTATTTCTCGAAAACAGTACAATTCGGGTTTAAGCAGAATATAAGGTTGACGGAAACTCGGGGACTGCGTCTACCTGATGAGCCCCAAGGAAGGCGAAAACGGTCGTGGGCCGTCGAAGAGTTTTCGGCAACCTTGTGAATAGTTTCCTTTATGAAAATATACTGCGATATCTCGAATATCGTGTCAACTGAATCATGAGGCGGCCTGTGTGCAGCACATTCAGTTGTAGAATATCATAAACGAGAGATTCAGTTGAGTCTCTTGTGAAAACCAAATTGATTTGCAAATGAGTGTATTTCTCGAGAGGCGTAAGGTCTCCACCGGTTACGCACAATGAGCAGTGTTCATCTAAGACATGCGCATCTTCACCGGAGGTGTAAAGGTACATTTGAAAAGCGTTTTATCAAACATTTAAAGCCTGCTTCATGTAGCTGAGACATCACCACACGCACGACAGAAATATGAACTTATCGGAATATCGCCTAATATTGTCAGTAAAATAAAACTCAACACACGTGCGGTAGGCTTACTAGATGCCAGCTTCTCAGGAGTCGCGCCAGAAACTTCTCCCACGGTATAATATCCCGACCGCGTCAACCCTTGTAGAACGGATGTGCTTAGGGGCAGTGAGATCAGTTCACGGAATTTCGAATCAGCCAACATTCGTCCCAGAATGCCTCGGATGAAAACACTGAGAACAAGAAGCCGATTGAGAGCTATGAGACCAAGAAGATACACTTTTTGGAGGCGGTTTGACATTCTTTCTAGCGACAGGAACACAACCATCCCAAATGCAACGTTAAAGTGGAAGGCATGCATTATCTCAGTTATACTGGCTTCTGCTCGGCTTTAAAATCTGTTTGGTGTTGAAAATACGGCCCAACAAATTTCGGAAAAGTTTGACTGATATGCATGTCCTCTTCTAAGGAGCTCCGCGAATGACGCGACTTCCCGTTCCTTATGTTCGGAGAAGAAATGTCAATAGTACGCGACAGATCCAATGGCAAGAACCATTGTGGGGAACCTTAAGCTAATCGGGTGTTTTTTACCGCATGACTCCTGCCTATAGTTAAAATCAACGGATTTCATTTGCTACTTTCAATATCTCACCCAAATCAAACATGGGCTATCGTACAGACTGAAGCTGGTATTGAGACCTCATCAATTTGTATGAAGTAACATCTAAATGTAGCAATTACTAACTGGTTGAATGTGGATACATTCAGCAGCTGTTCAACCTTCGGGCTGTTAAACTGATCCTCTGGACATCACCTGATTTAGTTAGCTCTGATCAAGTGATGTGTCCTACGGGAAACATTCATTGAACTGAGAACATCCCGGTTGAAATAAAGTAACAGATAGGCTGTAATGCCTCCTACTGACACGAGAACTTCAGCTTTCAGGCAAAAGTGAGCGGATGTAGAATGAGACCTCCCGCTCGGTCACTTGCGGGTTTTCTGAATTGCAGATAGAACTAACCGGACTAGAACAATCCTAGGTAACATACGGGCTATGGAGTAAAGCTACCAAATCGGTGCAGCCGTCGGTAAGACTGTACTTGTCCAATTACTGAATGTACGGATCTGTCGTAGTTGTAAAACAATCGAGAAAATCATTGTGTGCACAATGGTCGTCCTGAGTTTCACAAAATTTTCCATGAAAAACTCAAGTCTCCATGATGTTAAAGTAGGCACATGAATTTTGAGGATATCAGACTAGCGGCTGAAACTACCAGGTGAGTCTGGCTGTTTTGAGAAACCTTGTTTTTAAAGCGTATCAACCAAGCGACTTGTGAACGCCCATTGATCGGTGCTCCCATCAGCCATCGCTATATGATCTTCTGTTTTTTTCTACCCTAGTTAAAGGGGGCTGAACGGGAAAGATCCTGAAAAGATATGACAACGGCAACAATAATTCCGGTCTATAGGACGTGTCAAACAGGATTGCCAGTATCCTCCCCCCGGCAATGTACAGCCAGTGGGATAGAAGCACGACAGATATTTCAGAGTGCTTCAATTGGTTGATGCATGTGGACTGAAATAAGGCACCACCTTCCGGTATCAGACACAGCCGATCGATTCTGACGGACAGATCATTGAAATTGGATACTTACGAGGAACCAGATCAACATGAATGGATAAGGCGATACTAGCACTAATGTAATACGATCCATCAGAGACAAATGTACTGCAGCTTGTGAGAATTAGGCGCTCCCTCAGTGAACTCTGATTGGACAAAAGGATCCAACTAACATCGTCAAATAGTAGCAGACAGGGAACTATAAGACTACTCACTATTCTTTGTTGAGTAATGGTACGATGGATTGCTGACATCTATGAGGAAGTGTGTCCTACATCAAAGAAGTGATTGTTTTAAATAAGGTCATCATTACAGGGGGACGAATATAAGACTGTTACTTAAATCACATAGAAAACCTTCTACAGGATACTTAACGGATAGTCACAGTTGAACGTTAGACAACATCGGGGACGAAACGCACAGAACTTTTGGAACCAGTTGGCGTACTGCTTAGTAATCAGTAATGCTTTCTATCGGGACGGTTAGTTATTCTATTCATTTAGCATAGCAAACGAAAGCTCCGCATCAGAGTCCTCTGGTTCTGGGAAGCTAGCTTTGGAAGGCAGTTTCACAAGCCGCTGTTCTGACTCGTTGAACTGACCACCTTGAAGAGGTGAAACAGCTCATTTTCGACACATAACCGTGCGTAAGTGTGGAAAGCTCTTGTTTTTTGGCTTCATTGTCGCTGTCCTCCGGCCTAAGTTAGTCAGTGAATGTTCAAACATTCAAAAGCACATGACAACTGGACTTAACACACTCCTCATAAGGGGCCGAAAACTATTTTCAGTCCATAACCGGTTTCTCCCTTCTTGGGGCTCATCAGGTAGGCACATTCCTCGTGTTCTCATCAATCTTATTTTCGACTTGATGCCAAATTGAATGGAATGAGCCAAATACTAACAGTTGCTCACGAAAATATTCAACAGGATTTAGTTGAGTCTCCCATCACAACCAAATTAACTGTTTTGCATGTCATTTGCAACCGGCCACTACAGAATGGAAGAATCATCGAGTAAAATGTCGATCGTGTATTTTTATAGGCCTTTCAATATGATGCATGCAACTTGGGTATTTCGCTTTCAGTCCCATTTTAAGGTCATGTCCTTCAAAGCCTCATTTGAATATAAACTTTGATCGTCACTGAATGATCAGTCATCTAATGACTGTCGTTCGAGGAACTTGGAGAATTTCTTCGGAGGAACAACAGCCTATGATAAACAAATCTGACTATCATGAATGACAGATTCAGCTGGATTCCGATGAGTCTCCCGTCAAAACCGAACTCGTGTGCAGATAAGAGTATTTGTCAGAGACGAAAGCTCTGAGACATTACAGTAAGTGGTAGAAAAACATGACATGAATGAGACCCGATTACATAATCCTACGCTAAATGATATGCATGTCATTGTTCCTTGTAATACACGTTTGCTGAAATCAAAGGTGAAGAAAACCTAAACACGGTGACGGTTAACCAAATCAAGTAGAAGGGAAAGTCATGGGGTTGTCATGTGGTTTGCTTCGGATAACAATCACCGAATCCCTTTGGGTATTCCGAGGTGCACGGGCCCTGAAGAGCTATTTACCAAGAAGTAAGCATGTTGCAATCAGGCGTATGAACCACCCACACTGAAGCGATCATTGCAGTTGTGCGATGGAAAGCTTTAGTGTTCCAAAGGAGGCGTTTCAGGTTTTTCCTAATCATGGCTATTTCAGGACATTTTGCTGGACAGACCAACAATTAGTGAATTATCTCAATTTTCAGCCTGCAAAACGGCTAGTAAAGCGTCGGGCCTTCAGAATGTCCTAAACGCAAGAAGTCACATCCAATAGAAGCCGGTGTTGCCTATCCCTAAGTCCACATTTTCGTTTTATGTATTCCAGCACAATATAACCATGAGGATATGACCAAAAGAGAGCTTAATTTATTTTGGGAACATGATAATCTCGGATTAGGCTTATATAGTACTCCCGTATCCGTGTATGATAAAACTTGACGCGTCTTGGATTACAAGCGTTGTATCGTGTCAGTAATCAGGAGGGGACAGCGACCCATATAAATCACGAGTAATGATAAACTAATTTCGGATGAAAGCCCAGGAGAGAAAGGCCTCCACACAGACTCAGAAGACCAGCCACTTTATCTGAAGTCTAACACCTTGGACCTTACCATTTTGTTCTACTGTTTCAGTCATTGTACTCCTTCCCTGCAATGACCGTGAATAAGCCAAATGAGTTCGGACTAATAGAGATGGAAGTAGAAGGACAGGGAGCACCTACTTGAGAGTGCTATGCGCATCCACGTAGTCGGTAGAGTGGGAGTCGTTATGAAGAGCTAGGGTATGGTGCTATTGACTCATCAAACCAGTGGTTGGAGATCCTCAACAACATGACCAAATCAGAGTTCCAGTGGTGCTCGTTTTTATCGCGTTATCTATTCAGTTTCACAAAAAGTTGACAGTCGAGATTTCAGCAAGCTATCAAATAGATTACTAAAATGGATTGGAAGGTCTACACTATAGTGGTCTGTTTCAGCTCCCTAGATTTTTCGGCGACCGATCAAGACTACCCTACTCACGTACGAGTAGGTGGTCCTAAACTGAAGTTCCAAACACAGACGTCTGAACACTAGTACTATCAAATCATGGGAGTATGCCAACCATAACAGTTAAATCTGGTGTATCTGTCGATAGACTACCAATAATACAGAATGACTGGGCTCAGAAAGTCCAACCAAAGCTCCGACAGAGAAAAACGATTAGGATCGAGCAGATCGAAGCCGCAAACATGCCCGAATCGGAACTACGGCTCATAGCGTTTTGAAAAAGCAAATCCTATGGAAAAGTACTAGCCGTCGAAACTTCCCCCTCCCTAACAGAACGTGCTCTACAGCACGGTACCATTGATTCACGTTGCGTCAAAATTAACGAGCACTAAGAGAATATCAAACACGCCTAAAGAAAGCACCTGGAGCATACAAATAATTTTTCATTTATTAGGAACAGGAAAACAGACGATAGGATTATAAGAATGACCACATTCTATTCGGGTGCCTGACATTATATCCAAAATAAAAACGGTAAAATAGTTAGTAACGTTAGACAAGTGCAGGAACAGCGGTGGTAGGCAAGAGAGAAACAAAATTAGAAGGAGATTAACAAATACTGAACAAGTTCTCATTCTACCCGAACTAAATTTTTCGGTAGGTAAACAAGTTAATAGGGAAAGAAATCTACTCCAAACAGCACAGAAGGCGCATTCCACGAGATCTCTGGTAACTAATCAACCAGGGTTAGTGATAGGCTTCGCCCGAGCCATCAACCACCTTGCCGACGAGTTGGCGAAGTGTGGATGTCCATAAATCCTTCTCGACAGACCCATTTGCTTCAAAAGCAATCAACTCTGTTGCATAGGGATCACAAATTTGATTGAATAATGTAGAGAATGTGGACTGTTGACTGTAGGGGGCACCCGGGCCACGGGAACGAATTCGACTGAACGCTGAGCGAAAACCAGGAAGTGGAGTGCAGCGGAACGAAGCCGAGTGTTTTGTTGCTTCTGATGACACAATGCGACGCAAGAGAAACATATCACCTAAATGAAGAGATAGCAAGGCAAGTGGATGAACTAAATGTGGAAATAATCGGGGATTACGACGTAGAGTAAAAACAGCACGGCAATTCACTATTCCTCATCCCGGCACGAAACTTATACAAGATGTAAAAGAATGCACACCTAATTTGGTGTGTAGCGAACTAGTCAAAACCCAACTCTACGTTGTTCAGACTTATTTAGGACAACTGGCACTGCGCTTCCAAGGTCACCACACACTAATACCATAAACATAAATGCCTAAACCATTCTGCAGATCATTCTGTCTTTAAAAAAGTCCCCAACATGAGCGGAGCACCCGTTCATTTTAAAATTCTTTCCGGACAAAGGGTTGCGTGCAAATGTTGTTTGAGTATGACACGAACACACCAGCCGTACGGCAGCATAGACCTGTGTCATTCCATCGTATTGTGATTAACGAAATAATTCTGTGCTTCAAGCATGAATGGGTGGATTCCGCATCCACTCACCTTAATGCTGTTCTACCAGAACGGCACCTGCTTCGCCTAGCTGCAACCAAGATTCAGTGGTTTGCGATGGAAAAATTCCAACCATGATCACGGTCTCTGGGACACGGTGACATGAAACTCTATTAATCGTTTTTCAGTGGAGCTATTTATGCAAACACCCACTTGCTCACTGCGCTGTGCCTCTGATCATGTGTAGTGGACAAGTCCAAAGAAAACATCGAGTCTGTAGCGAAATCCTTTATCAACCGTCATGGAAACTATATAATAATTTGAAAATCAGAGATGTTAACACAAGCTGCCTGTCTGTGGTCGATAATAACACCGCTCGCCATGGTGGTCCGTTAGGAAACCACAAAAACAAAAGTTTCTAGAGATGAATCTGCATTGAAGTCGTCAGGTCGCATGAGTTTTATGCGAACCGGCACTTGACAGACGAGATGACCAAAATTTGATGGAATAGAGGGCGACAACTTGGAGGAAAGAGGGCGTTGCAGCGAAGAAAGATGACAAATGGTTTCCAGTACAACCTAGATACAACAACCACTACTATTTCTACGACTGTGAAAGGAATTCGCTTTTCACGTGGACGGCGAATGAACAAGATGACAGGATTCTACGTACCGATTCGTTTTAAGGTGAATGGCTTCTGCTTTTCGTTATTATTGGTTAAATCCTCCAGAATGAAATCTTTCAGAATGATGGCATCTCCAAACAATCGATAGCGTTTGATGTAATGTGGAACCAGGCTGAACTGGTCGTCTGTACAGCTGAACTCGAAAACAGAGGACGAGATACACAACGGTTGACCAGTATCGTTCCCCTTTGAGCTATCGGTTGGCAACCACCATAACCAATGAGGTCGTGCCCTGAATACGGAGGTGTCCGGTCTCAGCCGTATGCTTCTGTCCGGAAGTGGACTGGCAGAGGTAAATACACTGAACAAACTCTTCAGTCTGTCTCGTCTGCTCATCTTGGAGAGGGGTACAGCCAGAAGAAGCACCTCAGGAAATAAGAACGCCTTGACCTGGTAAGAAGAAGGGGAAATGACGATGACAAAGGGAAAAATTGCAAGAGATTTTTCTCGCTGCCAATTAGTAAAACCGAAAACTAAAATCCACCAAATCCCTCAACAAACGAAAGGCTGTCATACGCAAATTGACCAACATCTGAAGATGTCTACACATATCTATATTGAGGATACCGCGCCTGATGATCTCTGCCCAACTGTCTTCGGCAGCCACACATGGAAACAATAAAAAGGAAAGTGCGTAGGATAGGAGCCTAATCTAAAGACTATAGAGGGGAATAGCAAACAGCACTGAAACAAGTAACATGCTTTTTGTTACATAAGCGTGAAATCAAAGGGTAAAGTGGGTCCTAGTGCCAGGATATCCAGCGTAATGAGTGAAAGATACAATGCAAAGCCGAAATACTCTTGACATGTCTTCTTCGCTACTCCGTTACTCTTGCAAGTGCCATTATAAAAGACCAGCAACAAATTCCAGGGGTTTGGACTTGTGGACAATGACAGCACTTATAGTTTGGGCGGTAGTACCTTATCGGATGACAAACCGATTTATCTATCACCAAGACCCCCTCTAGAAAGACAGTCTACTCTTTAGAGGAGTTTGCAGTGAAAATTCTCCACAGACTTTCAATAGGATAGGGATAACTAACATCTATCTACATGGTGAAGGATGTATCCCTCGACGAGCGATTTTAATCTCATGGAAGATAATGAAACCGCCCATGAGAAAAAACCGTAAAGGTTTTACAGGTCACATGGCAATCCCGGTCGATGAGACAGATGGTGCACACGGCCCAAAACCTGTTTAGCCCGGCTGAAAAATCCAAAACTATACAAGTACACTTAACACTCGCAACGCAGTGAATAACGTCAAGCTTAACCAACTCCGTTAAAAGTCCCATCAGTCGAGAATAGCAGTTTACGACGTACTAGATTTCGTGTTACTGTATCCCCATGACCTGGCAGAGGAGTATGAAGGAGATGACGAAACGCTTGGGTGCTGTCGGTGCTACTCGCCTTCCAGGATGGGGACCGCGTGCCCTGAATACGGAGGTGTCCGGTCTCAGCCGTATGCTTCTGTCCGGAAGTGGACTGGCAGAGGTAAATACACTGAACAAACTCTTCAGTCTGTCTCGTCTGCTCATCTTGGAGAGGGGTACAGCCAGAAGAAGCACCTCAGGAAATAAGAACGCCTTGACCTGGTAAGAAGAAGGGGAAATGACGATGACAAAGGGAAAAATTGCAAGAGATTTTTCTCGCTGCCAATTAGTAAAACCGAAAACTAAAATCCACCAAATCCCTCAACAAACGAAAGGCTGTCATACGCAAATTGACCAACATCTGAAGATGTCTACACATATCTATATTGAGGATACCGCGCCTGATGATCTCTGCCCAAGTGTCTTCGGCAGCCACACATGGAAACAATAAAAAGGAAAGTGCGTAGGATAGGAGCCTAATCTAAAGACTATAGAGGGGAATAGCAAACAGCACTGAAACAAGTAACATGCTTTTTGTTACATAAGCGTGAAATCAAAGGGTAAAGTGGGTCCTAGTGCCAGGATATCCAGCGTAATGAGTGAAAGATACAATGCAAAGCCGAAATACTCTTGACATGTCTTCTTCGCTACTCCGTTACTCTTGCAAGTGCCATTATAAAAGACCAGCAACAAATTCCAGGGGTTTGGACTTGTGGACAATGACAGCACTTATAGTTTGGGCGGTAGTACCTTATCGGATGACAAACCGATTTATCTATCACCAAGACCCCCTCTAGAAAGACAGTCTACTCTTTAGAGGAGTTTGCAGTGAAAATTCTCCACAGACTTTCAATAGGATAGGGATAACTAACATCTATCTACATGGTGAAGGATGTATCCCTCGACGAGCGATTTTAATCTCATGGAAGATAATGAAACCGCCCATGAGAAAAAACCGTAAAGGTTTTACAGGTCACATGGCAATCCCGGTCGATGAGACAGATGGTGCACACGGCCCAAAACCTGTTTAGCCCGGCTGAAAAATCCAAAACTATACAAGTACACTTAACACTCGCAACGCAGTGAATAACGTCAAGCTTAACCAACTCCGTTAAAAGTCCCATCAGTCGAGAATAGCAGTTTACGACGTACTAGATTTCGTGTTACTGTATCACTTTTGTGGTCCCAAGTAATTTTGTGCGTTTTGTAACTGCATGCAAGTTTGTTCCGGTATTTTGTTCACCGTGATAAGACGTATCATATCTTGGAATTTTCTTCGATTAATCAAACGCTGACGTTTGATGTCTCAGTGGTAAGAGCGCGAATTTACCGATCGGAAGGTTCGTGGTTCTAATCCGACTTCCCCTGTCTAGGCTTGGGTAACCTGACAGTATCAAAACCCTCGTGCTTTCTTCGGGTGGTATGGCATCTGGGCACCCAAAGGATTTTACAGTTGGACGATTTTCAGCTGTTCCGGACGTCCCATTTCTGGAGCCCCGTAGGTGGTTTTTCAGGAGAACTTGAAATCTAGCTTTGGAATGGCGTTTGCGAAAGTAGCCACTGGAATACCAGTTTACCTGCTGTTCCAAACGGTCAGAGTTGTTGATGCGAGCCTAGAATAAATCAAGACTTCCCAGTGAGGCGTTTTCAGCACAATTTCAAGATGCGTTATCTAGGCACTTAAGCAAGTATAACGTTGGAATTCCTTGCTTGGTTGACGTTTTGCCTTTGTTATTGTGCATTCTTAAGCGTAGAAGACAGGTTGATGCGGAGGGATATCAGTTGAATTTGAACAGAGGATGAATCATCCTATTCGAGACTTGAACGACGAGATGTGGAGACTAGTGTGTGCTGAAAATCTTGCACAATTTGGCAGTGTCATGATACTGACGGACCATACTCCACTCGTCAGTCTTGTTTTGGCCGATCAGCCTCAAAGTTTTCAGCAAACAGTAAATGCTCCATGCTCATTTCCGAAGCCCAATTATTGGTGGTCTATTGCTTTCACCAAACTCTCATGACACGCATTTTCCACGAAAGAAGGATGCTTCTCTGTTGAACCATAATTTTTCGATTGACTTGAGGCAACCGATACGCAAAAGCTGTAGAGATTATCAGGACGTTTTCCAACGGTTGAGTCAACAGAACGAAGGCATTTTGAAGACTGATACTGCCCTATGGCAAACAATCGAAACTAGCCGTCAGTAGTCATGAGTCCCCTCGAAGGCAGGATGGGGTCATCTGTGGATTTTCTATACTCACTACAATTTCGTGCTTGAACTCCAATTTCTCTCGAGAGGATATTGTAATACAAAGATATTCCATTTAAATACACCTGAAATCCTATACAATGCTGGTAAACATGGAGGCCTTTCGATAGGCTTGTGATGCGCAGGAGGCAATACAAATCTAAGACCAGTTTATGTTACCCTTTTACTCAGTTTATACCAACTGAAGTCATAGGGACATCTCTGACATTGGGACCCTCTTTTTTGAAAGACAGCGAATGAGACCCTCTGGCGAGCTCAAATGTTGTGAAGAGAACCGTTTACAATAACGGTATCCCATCGTGATATCATCTGAATGACTCCTCGTCTTTATGGTAATGGCGCTTAGTCCCATGTGATCTGTTCTTAACGACATTGATAAGTCGCCATTTATCTTTGACTTCGTTGTGAATTATTTTACGTGAAAGGTACATGAGGCGCCTTGCAAAGAAGCTGCTCCTGGCCCCGGGTTCGGAAGTCTTCCACAAAGCCCCATTCTTTTAAGCATGGGGTAATCGGTGCTTATGAACCGGTTGAAAAAAACAAATAAGGAACAGAGACACATTAAATCCGCTGAATAGCTACACAGATCAAAATACGTTGGCAAAAATGTTGACTTCCAACAGGTTTTCTTAACAAAAGGTATCTGAAAATTTAGCATTCAACCATACTACTTATTAGCTGACTGCGAATGGATATTTTATTCGGGTCAAACAGCTGAATGTCGCATTCTCGGCAACCTCAACGGTCACAACAGGAAGTAACCCCAGTTTTCTTCGCACACAGAGCGTGCAAGACGTGAGACACAGATATTTTCGACCGCCAACTCTCAGATTGTCTGTCTTTTCTGATTGCGATGGAGATCCCAGTCGATCTCATGATTTCTTTTCAACCTCCCATCCGACTGGGACAATTTTCAAGTCATTTAACAATTGTCCCCGACGGTGTCATCATTTGGATGGCCCTTAGTTTTTAATGAAAAACTTACACGCGTCCTTTCTGACGTAATGGGCCAACTGATCCTCCATTTTTTCAGACCACGTTTAACAGTGTGTACCTGTAGGTGGAAAGTAGATTACACAAGGATCAGTAAATGCGCCCATGTCTTTCCATATGCACTCAGTACATACATCTTGTTGTGATATATGGCATAACACGTCATAGCTGTTTGTCCCTGACGGACTGCGTGAAAGGAAATGTCTCAACTAGCGAAAGTATCAACCGAAAGTCCATCCCTTTGGAGTTTGGCCAAAGCAGCCGATAGCACGTTTCATTCTTCTTCATTCCCTCCCATACATGATTCATCTAGCGGTTCGGAATCCCTTTTGTCAGAGGCATTTAACCCCTATTGCTTCCTCCCCATCTACACAAGTTTACCCAGAACATCCGTAACGCTTACCCTTGCCAACTACCAACACGTCCTCCGTTCCTTGTCAGAGATCAACATTTCCAAGCATCCTCATTCAGCTGTGTTCCTGAGCCAGTCATAATCATTTCCACTATCTCTGGCCTATCCTTAACCGCTGGTGTTTTTCCGTCAAGCTGAGGAAAGGAACCTGTCCCTTATAATTCCAGACATGGCTACTGCTCCAGCCACATAACTACCTGCTCCTATCCATTACCCTGAGTTCAGTCAACAGTTCTTGGATGGATTAAGGCCGAAAAACCTCTCTTGCGTGACTGCCAATATGAATTCAAATGAAACCACTGGCTTACGCGTCATAGACTCCGTCTTCCTCTCTGTGTTCTAGATGAAACGACGCGGTTGCGCGAGTTCCCCAAGGATCTGTGTTCTACTCCCACCTAAGCCTTTCTTATGTGAGCAATATATTCTCCTCCGTTACATCTTCAAACTAAGGTTCCGCAAGCGCCACTTGACATCACACTTAGTGCCACCGCTCTGCTTCATTCCATCTGTGACGGCCGGGCGCGTCTTATTACTACTCTAGATACTGCTCTTCAAACCATCCTTGGCTGGGGTTCGCCCAAAGCAATTTTCACGTTCAATCATCTACACATGCCCATCTCTTTACGTCGATCCAATCCCAACCTAAACCCACTCACTGAGCCACTTCGATTACCCTCCTTCGCTTATCATTTTCGGGCAACTTGTCCTGATCCTCGTGCGCCAAAGCCCTTGCAATGAAAGTAAGCCAGCGTTGCGTTTGGAACAAGCGACCCAAATTCTCGTTTTTTGAACTAACGGTGCTTCTTTCATGTTTGGAATGGGGCCTTTCTTCCCCTATCAATCCCTCCCTCGTTCCATTCACTGCGAATTTATAAAACTCAACGATTTGCTTTCACTGACAAAAGCTTGTAGGGGTTTCCTTGTCTTTCGCATTGTTCTGGGGTTATCACCATGGGAAATGTTTTCCGGAGTTCGCTTCTTTTGACAATGGTCGGAACCTTTGTATCGTGCAGTGCGTTTGCTCGTTGAATTATCCCTATCAACACCTTACGTTATGGAACCGACCGCTCTCCCTCCCAAAAAATATTTCGTCTTTGCATCTCCATGTCCCTCAATTCATAAAATGTCCAAGACCACCTTGAAATTCTCGTTGCTTTCCCTATGCTTTGATGTTGTCTTTATTATTCTTACGGGGGTCGTCTGACCACGGGTTCTCTGATCCACAATTCGTGTCACGCGTGATTAAGCCCAAGGCTCTGTCGCGTTCATTTTGTTTCTCTACACAACTTCAAAATATGGCAGTCAATATCTTATCGTCGCAATGCCGCATGACTTGATGGGAGTACCAGGGTTCCCGAGCCCCCCCCCAGTCCTGCCGAGTTCTCTAATCATTATCAGGGGTAATTCAGAAGCCAAGAGTGAACTCGAATTTACAGCTTCACTTCTAAACCACGTCGAACTAGGTTCTACATAAACTTTTGGTAAGCAGGTAGCATTTTTGTGGTAATAATGATTTCGTTACATACCACGGTTCGGCGAACGCGCAAGTCTCCAGAAAGCAGCAGCTTGTTCTGCCTGAAAATGACGTCCTTATACTGAAAAAATGAGGTAAAAATAACAGTTAGGAAGACAAAAATATCTCAATAGAGTGAACTGCACATCCACGGACTGTTCAAAATATATATAAAGGAGAAAACTTCCCGTGGGAGGAAAGTTGCGGCCGCTATTGGTAGCATGATCAGGCATACCTTTATGAGCAATGTTGAACTTGCAATCGCGAGGTCTCAGTGTGAATCTCAGGAGACTGTGGGGTATGCTTATGTAATTGTGAGTATTTCATCAGTATTTTCCGACCCTCCGAATTTGGGTGATAGAATGAATGCATTGATAAGAGGAACAGAACACCACCTTCTCTATATCGACACACCCTCAAACACGACCGCGCATAGAAGTCGTAAATCGAACGCCTACTACCAACAGAATTCATCGCAGAAAACAATGTCGGTAACCTCGCTGTGTTCCTGACAGTTCAGGCGGCAGATGCTCATGCCGCAACCTGGCCTATAGAAAGATCAGGAAGGTAACAGCCTGGCCAGAGTGATTTTATTCTTAACTTAGAGGTGGTGCGTCGGTTTCCGGTGCTTTACACAGACTTCCATCATTTTTCATTCGAAAAACTTTCATGTTTGTACGCAGAAGGACGATACCTAGAATCGACTGTATCTGATAGTAGCGGTGTCCGTGTGAACCAGGATGAAGGTTGAACGCAAAACACAAAGTCAGCTCAAATGATAACACCAATGTGGTTGATTGCAAGATTACCTCACAGGACTGGTCCACCTGAATTCGTTTCAACTGGAATAAACATTGTGCTTCACCAGCGCGCTGATTGATTTCGGCTGTTATTCGCTTCGCTTCATGACGGGCAGTGTAAACGGAGAATCGCTCCGCATCATCTGGAGGTAGCTGTTAAAAAAAGCAGAAGAGTGCTGAATGGCAGGCAGAAAATGCTAAAGTGAGTCAACTACTGAGTACAATTGGAAAAGGATGCTAGTGTGCCTTTGGAAGAACGTTTTGAAAACGAATCGCACCATGACATAGGGGTAGAGTTCAAAACTTGCGGTGCAAAAAGCCTTCTGACATACAACCAATAAACACCTCGGAACATACAGCATTTCTTCGAGATCACCATGTGTACACATTTCAGCAAGAATCGAAAATTTCAGTTATCTCAGTTAGGGTGCGTTCGTAAACAAGTGGAGCTACACAGAGCAAGTAGCCTGTGTCAATCTTCGAAAACAGGAATTGTGGGAATGATGACCCAATAAAGCTCAAATACAATAAACAAGCATTGGGTGGGATTACATTGTGTCCTAAAAGGCAGTCTAGCAAGAACAGCTTTTTTTCATGCAAAACTGGGAGTGGCGAAATCCTAGAGTGCTTGGGGTGCGACCGTGAAGCGTCAGCATTGTTTTCTATGATGAGGAGACCGTGGCTGCTCACAAATGTTTTGAACCGAAGGCACAGGATTAGTAAACCTTCGAAACGCTACTCTCCGATGGCTGTTCACGCATGCAGGAGACCATAGCATTGCTGAGAAGCAGTTCATCTTACGGAAAACCTCTGGATAAGCGGCAGACACGTGAGTACACACTCAAACACCTTTGGGACCGTTTCGGGTAGGACAGAAGATTCAGTGAATTTGGAAGCCAAACCCAATAAGTCAAGTCCCACGAGACTGTCAAATAAGTGCCAATCAGTTGAGTGTTGAACGACTTGGCTAAGACTTTAAAACAACTCGGGGTGCTTAGAGTGGATGCCTAATTTCAGCTCAAGAGTTTGTAACCGGAAAACCAAATGCGATAAATTAACTCCGAATTTCAAGGAATCCAGTCCCAAAAATCCTATGTCGTATTGTGCAAGCAAGTTCGGACAGAACTCAAAGAGTTGCTTCTGTTACAGCAGAAGTGGTGGATATACAAAAGATCAAAGGGAACATGAATACGGCAAAGCTATGGCGACAGGATCGTGTTAACTATCACGACTTGCCGAAACGGTACTTTTAATTCTGGACCTTATGGGAGTGTGATAAAGCTGCTTAACGTTGGAATACTTTTCGTCGATGACGCAATGTGGCGAACTACATACTCCACAGTAGGAAGTAATGCGATCACGGGACTTACACCAATAGAGAGTTCACCCTTGACCACGGAGTTTTATTGTGAATGAGATTTCTACATTTTATCGATCATAGTGAGTCTCACATACATTCCAGTTCGACAGAGACATGCATCTGCATTGTTATAAAATGTCAATTCCTGGATTTTTCATGTGGTGGGAAGCTGACGGCTTTTCGCAGACCCATCCGAGCCTTCGCGCACTAGTAGCTTGTTCAGGAGCAACCCGTGTTCTTCGATGATTTTACTGTCGCCATATAAGGGCCAGTGACGTCCACAAACCGGTTGTTGTTTGACACTATGAGGTATCGTTATTGTCAACTGGTATGTTGCTGTCGTTACCTGCCACTGTTGAAGCTGTCTATCAAGAAGCCTCCAGACACAAAAAGTACATATGCAGAGAACTACGCATCCCCAAGGTCATCATCAGTACCGCACGTTCTGGATTGTAGATGCGTTGGTGGAGCTTACCAACCACATCTTAGCAGCATGCGATCAGCGGAGTGGGTGTGAAATTGCCCATGGCAGGAACGTCGTCATTGGCTGAACAGAACGAACAAGCGAATGATTATAATTGGCCCTTTAGCCATCCTATATATTCATACAGAAGCTCTGTCCGCTTGTCCTGACAGTAAAGTGGTGTCCCGGGTTCTGTGTTTTCCTATCGAGCTCAGCGGAGGCGTAACCGATAGACAGCCACTCACGATACAACACTATCCCACCAAAAGATGAGAAAAACCGTAGGATCTTATGTAATCTCTCAGTTACTCAATTGCACATAATGAAATCCTAGGTTTTTGCTAGGATTATGCATCTCGCAGACCACATCCGTGTTGTAATTACCCGAAGGTCTCCTTCCATCAGCACTTCACAAACTCCAGCGACCGAGTGACCAAACTGAGTGGTAGTCACCAAAAGTACACATGTAAAAAACGATGACTCCTCAAAACAACGGACAGGCTAAATGTTACACCAATATCATGCAGCTTGGCGATGGTACACCTGAATTGGTTAACGCAGAACAATAGAAAAAAGGACCGACGAGCACTTCCGGATACAGTAGGTTATTTTTAAAGGAACGTAGTGCCTCAATTTACATGGAAGAGGGGACAGAAATGAACGTAGCTATGATTTCAAAGTAAGTGCTCAGTCATACAGTTCGTAAGTGAAATGTCTGGATTGCCCATGCATGTCTGACAAAAGTTGAGTACCTATGAACATGTAAAATCAACTGTTGCCCAGCTGGCACACCACACGAAATGAAACACGAGGGGAAAATACTGCCAGGTTGCCCAAACCCATACAGGGGTAATTGTGATGCAGAGGGTAGGTCCGAACCACTGAGCTGTCGTGAGCTCAAGATCTCTACATAGGCTACCAATAAATTAAGTCAAGACAGACAAGCAGAGTGTTAATCTGGTAGATATGGGCATCTACGACTTCCTACGGTGTCTTACGGATAGATCTGAGGTGCAGTGAGATGCAATCCTGTTGATAGCAACTTTAGATGAGGGCCTTGACAGAATTCTTGACTAGATTATCAAGTGCGATCGACATCGGGTCGTGGGAAAGTGCGGACGGAAATGAACTGACGTGTACGCATTTCAAGTAAATTGTACAACATGCAACCCATCACGAACACCAACCACTACCATATCCAAAAGTCGATCAAACAGAAGTGAATAGCGGGTGAACCGAGTTCGAGTACAAGCTGTGAGAAAATGGAAAAAGAGGACTTCCACTGTTGTGAAGCTAAACTTCTAAGCATACACGTCGAAAAATGCAGACCCAATGTAAACTGTCGGACGTCAGCCAATCGGTTCAAATTCGAGACAATTGGCCTCTTGTAACGATCCAGATATAGCACAATCGGAACCGTAGAGTAGGTAGAGTAAAGGTAGTAGCCAAGTGGTCAAATCAAATATCGAAACAAAACGAATTGGAAATGGGTTAGTTCAGTTTTTGGGAACCCGCTAACTGATTGTTTCCGCTCTGACCTTGCCCCCTGATCTTCCGAGCTGTCACACACACACACACACACAACAGGACATGAGACGTAAAAAGAAAACTGTACTAGTGTACACGCTGATTATTCTTCCCAGGAGCTTGGTATGTACGTACTAATTATAAGTTGCTTTCTAAATACATAGAAACCGAACAACAAGCACATTCAATGTGCTGTAATATTGGTAGCTCGGGTGAGTTTACTGGTAGTTGATAAATTATCAATAAGCACTTCCTCGAGAGATAGCACTCTCAACTAGAGGCGTTTCAGTAAGATCCCATGAGGGTTAGCTCGAGATTGATAACTTTCAATAAAACACCCCTCAACTTCCAAACAAAAATCAGGTACCGCCCGAAATACAAATTTGGTTCCCAACAAGGACCGGGGCGTGAAATGTATTCTGTTTATTTTCTGACACTTGAGTACTAAGTAGATCGTTAACTATACACGCATGCAAGTTTACTCCCGAGGCGGCTCACAGTCCCAAGACATGCTCTTCATCTGCGTTGTATACTACCGCAACAATTGAGCCATTAAGAAGACGCCAGACACCATTCAAATACAGCATTCGATGTCATGATGATGTTTTCTAATTGAATGTAGAGCAAGCGCGCTGTTCCTAGATTGCAGTATATCCTACATGGAAATTTTGAGTTTCTCATAAGTAGTGAGGAATGACTGCTCCGAATCTCCACACAATCTGTTAGTTTCACTCTTCTTGGGGCTCATCAGGTATTGGGATTTCGAAATCCCAGGGCACATACTGAGCACTTCCACAACGAAATTTTAAATATCAAGATTCGAACACTTGTTAACATAGCTCCCCACTGCTTCCGCCGAGCCGTCTTAAACGTTGAGGGTTGTAACCATAATACTAGTCCGGGCATGTTTAGCTTGTGTTGGTATAGCCATCCTAGAGCTCAACTTCTGGCCGAGACCGAATCCATTCATTACAAATCTCCCTGTCCGAACTGGAATACTGGAGAAGAGGTCGAAAAATTCTAGGGCGATTTAGAATCAATGTGAAAATCGTGAACAAGATAGCCGAGATGAAGGACGTCGATGAACTCGTTAGGCCATTATCTCCAGTGCCTAGCGATACTCCTGTCACTCACCTTATTCCTGACGGAGTTAGAGTTAATGCACCTGGATGAACAGTCTACCGATGATTGTCCGAACTTAGCTGAAAAGCATTTGTTGCTAAATCGCGTTACTAGGTAGGCTTGGCGGAAGGCAGTGACAACAGTAGTCTTACCTTACATGTGGTAATCGAAAAGTCGGGACCAAAATTGCATGCACAATGTAAGCTTTCCAAAGTGCCCAAAAGGTTCGCGAGATACGGCATAGTGATCTGCAGAAATAAACCCTCTGAAAAGGGCTTATACCCCTGAAGAGTCTGTGATAATGTTACTCGTCAGCCACTACTTAATGCACTTCCCTCCTGAGAAAAGGACGCTCCAAAGGGAGTCCAACAACCCCCTTCACATAATATTCTCTTTTTGAGAGCATTAGTGTATATTCAAACCATCTGGACTTTGAATTGCATATCTGTGGTTGGTGGTCCTGACCACGCTGCCCAGCATAAGCATTTTTTCTACCCAATCGACTAGTTCCATCTGCACAGAATCACGAAATTACCAGCCAACTAACTCGTTCAGGTGCAAACCCTTTCGTTACCTAACTGACACGCCACCAGAAGGAAGCACTAGGGCTGGGATACTGCAGGTTACCCAAGATTAGATAGAAGATTCGAGAGGCAGAAATGTTACCTAACGACACGCCACCAGAAGGAAGCACTAGGGCTGGGATACTGCAGGTTACCCAAGATTAGATAGAAGATTCGAGAGGCAGAAATTGGGCTCGAACCACAAACCTTCCGGTCAATAATTCGTGCACCAAACACTTGAGGTTGGAGATAGTCACTGACACAACTAACTACATGGTGAAAACTTCCAATTTTAACCAACTGTGGACTTATTCATACAAACACCTGACTACCGATGGATGGACAAAGTATGCAACCTGAATTGCCGTTGAATTTTCACGGGGTTTGGGTAGTAGCCAGATGTTTTGAGGAAGACGTGTCGGAATCTAATAGACGCACCCACACAGGCCACTTCGTCCTTACTGGGACTTATCAGATCGGCATTTAGAGATCAAGCAAAGGGTAAGCAGCCCGAAGTTGTTAACCCAATTGTCATGCACAATTCTGTACTGTCTCTCAAGGAAAACGAAAGCGCAAGCGATTGAGCTTATCGGGAACAGACCACATCTTCAATACAGAATTGACGTTTGGAAGATCACATACGCTAGCCAAACTTTGCTATGGTCTTAGTGTGTGGGCGAGATGGCTTAAGTGGTTACAGCGCAAATCTACTGACCAGAAGATCCGTGGTTCGAACCTGACCTCTGCCTCTCGACTTCTCCTGTCTAGGCTTGGGCAAGCTGACAGTATCCCAGCCCTCGTGATTCCTTCGGGTAGCACGACAGCTAGGCAACGGAAGGGTGTTATAGCCGGATGATTCTTTTTGTGATCTTAGTGTGTTATTAGGAGGTGAACTTTTCAGTATCTGTTTCACTGTAGCGCTTGTCACATCTCCGCCGGATTCATTGTTACTACTTGACGCGCAGTAGCTTGCGCAAATATCCCAAACGCACTCAAAATAAGTGGGACGAATAAACCAAAGGCAATCGCTATTCGATACAAAATGTTGAGAACGCGGTAAGTGATTTGTGACCTGAATGAAATTACCAAAAGTATCTAGAAATCTTATCGTTTTTTATCAATGGACACCACTTTGTATAGATTACTTACTCAGAAAATGCCACAAATCCAGGCGCTGATTAGAAGAAGTAGTACTGCACCTGGATAGGAATTCAGAAAATTTCGCCCGATGTCGAATCAAAGCCTCCAAATACTCCCGTGACTCGAACAAATGAGCCACATAGTCAATGATTAACTCAGCAACGAAAGAGAAGCCGGTTGAAGCGGGTGTTTCCACAGACGTTGGATTATGCTGTATATCGTGTGCGGTCGAACAGTCTTCCTCCGATGGAATTCCCAAGTAGCGAACGTTCAGCTGAAATTGGAAAGGGATAACTTTAATTTAGCCAAAAGGACAAGGGTGAAGAGCACAACATTTGTTAGACTAGACTACCTTGCACTCGTAGTTTCCATTTATAAGTTGGCTTACCTGATTGATAAAATCACTGAGCTGTTCAGTGTAACGTACAAAGTATCCTCGAATCGTCAAAGGGTTGTTCGTCTACATCAACTTGTAACAATTAACGACACCAGACGTTGTAAAAACATGGTACAAAAGTGTAAGCACTGCGTTGTTTGGCCAGTAACTCTGCCGGAAAAAACGTTGATGCGACTGAATGACTCTCCCAACTTACCACAACAGTGGGCAACTAGACCATTTTTATGTAGTTCTCATGTTGATTCCGCTCACTACGGGAGTCCAAAAAACAGATATTCGCGTGAGAACTTGTTTTACGGACAAAACATCAAATCTTTAAGCTGTGCAACCCGTATGAAGTAGGAGGGCTGGGATATTGTCAGTTTGCCCAAGCATAGTCAAGAGCAATCGAGAAACCAGAGATGACTTCATGGTCCTCAACTAGAACCAAAATAAATACCCATATCGACCGAACGGGAATAACCTGAAAGCTTAGTTGGGTAAATTGATAAACGGAGAAAAAACAAAAAAACGCCACCCAAAATGACAGCTCGGATTACGCAGACATTCAAGTGGAAAGTAGGACGCATCTGCGACGTTAAATAGCAGGAAACACGATATCGACATGCCGCTAGCCGACCACCCATCGTTAAGCTGTGGCACCTTTCTGGTTTCTAAGTGCCATGCTACCAGAAGGAAGTACAGCAATGGGATTCTGTCAGGTTGCCCAGGCCTAGACAGTGAATTCGCGCTACGACCACCGAACCATCTCGCCCACAGCCCAAAGACAACCTGTTCGGCACCTGTCCGAGAGTGTGCAAGTAGGAGACCTAGCCGGAAACAGGTTGCCCCTAGACAGTGAATTCGCGCTACGACCACCGAACCATCTCGCCCACAGCCCAAAGACAACCTGTTCGGCACCTGTCCGAGAGTGTGCAAGTAGGAGACCTAGCCGGAAATAGTCATGATAGCAGTGCTAATAAGTCGTAGCAAGAGATGGGCATCTATTTGTTTTTACCCCGACATTCTACAAACATTTACAAACTTTGCTTCATGGCAAAATTCGAAAGGAACCCTAAACATGGCGTTCACACCTGTCTGTCTGACCCTCCAAAAGGGACAAGTGAATGCAAGCTATACTTGGGGTTGCTAACTTGATAGATTTATGCTATCAGGCAACCAGAATAATAGCGAGTTGCCCGTCGAACAAGTGTCTGTGGAAAACAGGTATCTTCATAAATTCTTGACTCCATTCAATGAGTTATAGGTTAATTGCGGTAGATAGGTGAATACCTGCGGTAGGTTCGCGTCTGTGGTGTTCAAGCGGGTAACAAACAGGGCTGTCGTCCGTCACCTTTCACTTCAAGTTCGTCATCAATATGATCATGTAAGACCCATCCTCAGCGAGACGGCATATTTCAAAAGCAGGTTCGCAGACACAATTCTTCACATTGAAATGCAAGCAATATGAAGTACAGTATGAAATGACCAAAATAATTGTCTCACGGTTTGACCTATGACTTGGAAACCGTAATGTGTTGACGCAAGACTGAATAGAACTCCAGTCGAGTCTCATTATTGTGATTGAGTCGATTGAGGTCGTCGGCAAATTGGTCTGCTTGGGTAGTTGCACTGGTTCTGGTGATTCACCTAAAGCCGATACCGACATCTGGATAGGGATGCCTTTGGTAAACCTACATCATCTGTGTCCTAAAAGCGACAACGGCCTATTTGTCAATGGTCGAGTTTACGCTTTATATTGTCGCACGGGTGAGGAACCTGATCGCTGCGAGTTGCGAATGTTGAGAAAAACTTTCAAAGTTTTACAACTGGTGCCTACAGAGCATTGTCCACACGACACCCTGGCTTTATATAGCATTCGAACGACTTTCTCGAAAGGCCCTCTTTGCAGGAACGTTCACATAAAGATCCAGTCAGTGATCTGGCATCAAGGGCAAACTCGGTTACATCGACCGGTATCACCTTCAAAGATTGGGACCCCGAAAGAGGATGCACGAATGGTTACAGACATCAACAATCACTGTCCAGTGGAGTAATCGACCCCTCACACACATGTGTCAGTGCACAGCTTCACCTCATCCCCACAATGGGAAGCTCGACTACCATTCCTGGACGTGCGCACCAACGATAAAAGATGCGTATCAACGTACACCAGAAAACAGTGGTGTTGACGATGATGGATATCCACACCGATAAGTCTGAACCGTATAAAATGCGCGAAAAACTGTTTTCATTGTTTTTTCCACTCTCATTGAAATTACGATGTAAAAATTTTCAAAACAAATCACACACGACAGTGACTCAGGAACACGTTGACAGTTTTGGTTTGGTGAGCGCAAAACTCTTAAAATACTATACCGAGTGTTGAATGTAAAAACCTACAGTGGTTTATTAACTGACGTGACGATCAGAGCTGCACTCAGCACGCGCGGTGTTCATAGATTCAACCCGTGGCACTTCGATAAAGACCTGCACCTAGTATTCCATTGTTTTAGCGAAAGAAGATCAAGGTCTGTCTGACTCAACAGAGACCTGACCTAAAG